AAGCATCTTTGATCTGCGTTCTGGTGTCTAGTACAATTCAATGGTGTGATTATGACTACCATCTTGTTGGCATGCCCTTTCCTCGAGATGAATGAGTAGCCCTGTGTAGAACGAGAGAGTTTTCCCTTGGCCCGTAGCTGCAATACCCACTACATCTTTGCCTGCGCGCAAGCTCTGCCCTGCCTGCAGTTGCCACCGACATGCACGGACCCCAAATCTCCGGAAAACAATTTCCCTCAGCTCTTCTTCAGTCCATTTTCGGGTGGTCTCCAGACGTGTTATCTTATCAGTAGACATGCGTGAGCCCGAGAATATCAAAGAAGACGATCACACGACCGGTGCGCTGGCAAGACGGAGAACAACTCTTTCGAACCCTAGGTTCATTCTTAGGCATGTATGCCGAGTGAAGCCGAGAATTTGAAATACAAGATCTGCCAGCCGCTCTATCGCGTCGTACTCCCCCAAGCCTTATGATATAAAAGGAAATGATCACATGATGTTACCCCTGAGTTCACATGATCCCATTCCGACATTCATTCTGTTACAACATCGACTACCGCGCTAGGATTTGGGAGTTCGACGCGATACGAGCGGCTGGTTCAGGAGCCTGGCTTGACATGTATATCTTCGTCGTTCATCACAACTCGGGGCAAAGGACGAGCAGGTTCGTGCTCTGACTTTCGCTTGCTCGGTCCACCCAGTCTCCTCCGACGCTCGTAACTCTATACTGTGTTTCGGTGAACGCGAAAAGGCTTAAGGCGTGGGCAAGCGTCCTTGCAGCAATGAGCTTCAGAGATGAGGTCCTCTCTCCTATGGCGCAAAACATGAAGGAGCACCGAGGAGAGTATATCGGGACGTGGCTCCTGGGCGCACTATTCTCCATGCTGTATGTTGTTGCGGCTTTATTTCCAGCTTCATGTCAAGTTGACGCCTACCAAGTCTGCAGGGGATTCTCGTAGGGCAGCTCAATTTCTACCTTAATACCTATCGCAAAGACGGAACATACACGCGATGGTTCGTGGCTGTCGTCAGCGGGTTGAATCTGTAAGCGGTGGTCTCGTGACATTCATGCATCGAAGTTGATACTCAGGACGCGCAGATTAAGAACGGCTCAGACGATAGCCATACAATGGGGCCAGAGCATCACGAATTTCGGAGACTTCAATGAATTGACGATAGGTGAGTTACGCGGAACACCACCTCTCGGCTATCGCAGCTCATTCAGTCTACTACATCTAGGACCTTGGTACACGCGGCTCATGACGGTTGTGGTGAGTGCCATATTGTGTACAAACAAGGTCCCATGCCAACGCTTATATTCATGCAGTCGGCGTGCATACGATTTGTGGTGCATATGTATTTCACCGTAAGAGTCGCGAAGATGGTTAAGACGAACTGGAAGATTCTCGTGCCTCTATGGTCGTTCATTTTGATTGCCCTTGGGAGCGACATAGCCTTGGTGGGTATTTGCCCCTGCATGTAGTCATTACTCGTCTCACGCCTCAAGTTTGTCCATAGACAATATCCTTATTCATTCAAGTGCTCTATCTTCCCTCATCGTATCGCTGACGCGTACTGAAGAGCAACCAACAGAAAGGCAAAGCGTCCGAAATGGCCAAAAATTACGCTGTGATGGTGTGCACTCTACTGATTGGTCTCCTCGTGAACTGATACAACATACATCTCAGATGATATCGGCGATCGCTGTATTGCGTATGATCTTCAAGCATCTCATCACGCATGCCATGTATCGCTAACTTCAGCGCTTTCAAACAGTTGCAGACGCCATAATCACAGTAACAAGTCCGTCTCATAACTCGCGATGATGAGTGGGCGTGTAACAGCTCACTCTCGCTATAAACAGCCGTTACTGTACTCCTTGGGTCTCGTTCCGGCCTGGACGCGTACAACACCATTGACCGCATGATATACGTGACATGGACATCCGCCGCGCCACCCTCCATGTGCGCACTGGCTCAGCTGTTGACCTACGTGACACTGGTAAACCAAAGCTCCGTATTCATCATGTGCGCCCAATCCTCCATATTCCTCGTGTATAGAAGCCCTGACCTTGCAACCCAGCTTTACAATGATGATGTCGTACTTATACTCCATCTCAATGATGTACACGGTAAGCGCTTGTGTTTACTCTCCCCCCTAATGAATGAGATGATTGATGATGGCCACAGATCAACGCGTGAGTGTTTTGAAGAAGTTGCGACGTGTTCAAGGCCTTGATCCTCCATCGGTTCATCAGACGTGCGGACTTCATCCACCTCAAGCCCCGCGATGTAGGAGCCAAAATGGCTCCCACTGCGCGAAGAGGTAGCCCAGATATCATTGCTCTCCGTGGAATACGACGATCCATTAATGCCATCGATGCACCCGTGGCGCGTCTCGGAACACCTGGCCAGGACACGGATCCTCATGGCACAAGCATGGCCTCTAGCACGTTGGAAGCTCGCGAGGAATCACAGGTGCTTCGGCTGGCTTCTGACCGTACCTTGTCGCCGAATCACTGACATGAAGTCTATGGCACTATCAGGGCGATGTCACAGAAGAGACACGCTATGGAAGCACCAGTGCTCATACCGCCGACCGGGATCGAATCCAGATGTGGACATATGATGTTTCATCGATGACGGACTCCGAATACCGCGACACCTCCAAGAAGGACGCAGAGACCTCCACGCGTAGCATACAACCGGACCAGAATGACGCGGAACAACAATAAGATAGGACTGTGCATTCGTGTTGTCATAGGTAGTACATCGACATGAACCCTGTTTTATTCCTTTCCGTGCCCTCTCTCTTCCTTCATCTCGTCCCCCTAACCTGAAACCCAGATCCGCATGCTTACAAGCACTGGTCACCATCGCCAGTTAGAATGTACAGTCGAGAACACGAAGAAGGCTAGAAGATGAACACACCTGGTAATAATACGCGTTCACGACGGTACACACCGACCCGGCCGCGCATAGGGTGCTGCCCGTCCAGCCAGCCCCGCCGCATTGGCCATATTGGGCGACAGGCGTGCCCGTGCCGCTCGCCACGGTCGATGCCGAAGTCGTGGTAGGCGATACGGTGGTGGCGGGACCGGTGGTGACGGTGGCGGAAGAGGAACCGGACACGGCTGTGGTGGAGCCCGAGGAGCCGGGCATGACGGTCGGCACTGTAGAGGGCTGCAGCGCGGTGTTCCAGGTCGCGGTGGTCGGCCACGCGGTGGGACTTGCACACGCGCGTAACAATGTGTCATTCGTGAAGGGATGAATGGAGATTGAAAGAGACGTACGCGACAGTGGGCGAGGTCGTGCCGTAGGGTGTTGGGCCAGGAATGGTGTAGTCCGTCAGGGACTGATAGATGTTTATGAGGATGCCGCTGGGAGTTTTTCATTGTGAGCTTTGGCCAGTAACAATGACGGAGGAGTCCCTCACGGGTCTGTGGCGGCATATGCGCCGGGGAACATGACCTACACCACATAAGAGGCTCGCTCGTGAGCAACCAGTACTTGAGGAATGCGGAGGCAGTATCACGTACGGTGGAAGGGGAGGCGGTCCCGGACCCGCCAACCTGGAGCTGGTAGCACGATGTGTAGAACTGTGCACCGCCGAGGCTGCCTGCGACATGGAGCGCTGATGAGAGCGTGGCATTATCAGACGTATACGAGTGGAAGGAGGATGGATGGGGCTCACCGATGACCTCAGCCTTGAGAAGGTAGTTGCCCGGGGCGATGTCCTTCGGAATCGTGACCGTGTAGTGCCCGCAGTTGTCCTTTACCATGAACATCACCTTCCTCTGTCCGTGTGGACTGTGATAAATTGGGAACGTACGTTGAGGACCTCTGAAGCAGCGACTCAGTCTTTCGTCTCTCGAGCGATAAGGTGCCGAGGGAGAAACTAACCTGTACCCCAGTAGTCAGGGTTGTTCGACGGCATGCCCATCTCCGCAATCTTGAACCAACCAGCGTCGGACCCTACTGCCGTCGTTGCGTCGTCGACTTTGGCCATATACACCTACAGCAGCAGAGTCAACGTCTTGGGAATCCAAAAGCTAAGAACGAATGCGGTCTTACGAGCATAGGCCCGTAGTGGGCGCCGCCAATGGCCTCGTTCGCGCACGAGCGGTCATTGGGCTGCTGGTGCATCTCCACGGTAATCGAGTCGCCAGCTGGATATTACGAAACAAAAGATGAATTGTTAGAGATGATGTGGCCCCAATGTCAGTATGCAAGGCGAGACTTGCGTGAGACAGGGCAGACACCGTTGGATGGTGTCGGGTCCACATTGCAGGCGATATCCTGACCAAGCAACGATGAACATTCGTTCGATAGAAGATACTGTGTGGTCTTACAGTGCTGGTGACATCCGTGACAGGCGAATTCGACAGCGGCAAGCGAACGCAGGTCGAGCCGTAGTCAACGCCTGCAAGCCCGTTATGTCTTCAGTACGGGCTAGCCTGGATAAGCAGAGGAGCGAGCCCACCGTTGATCCAAATCTCCTGGAACGTCGCGTGAGCGGCGGCGCTGGCGACGAGGGATGCGGCGACGAGAAAAGACAGCATCGCAATCAAGACTTATCAATGCTAGGAGATGATGGATGAACCCTGGGCAATGACGCAAACCTCGCTCATCAAGCATTATATACCGCTCCCATGAACAGCTGGGACGGGCGTGGAGGGGCATATGATGCTCCCAGGGACGAAGGTCATGACGTGGGAGGTAGTATCTCCGTCTTTGATCCTACTAACGGGCACCGTCGAACCGTAGAAGCCTTGACGTGCGCCGGAACAACAGCCCGGGGTGCAAGGCTACCGCGGGGAATGGCATGTAACCACGCGGATGGGTCCGTGACGACCGGCGAGCTTCGTTGCAGTTCCGAGACGCGAACGCTGGTAAACTTCGGAGCCGGACTTTACCCGTTGCTGGTATAACACGAGTAAGGTCTGTTGAACTTGTGTAAGCTAGAACATTCGGGTTTGGAATGAGTGAAATTTGAGGACATGCCATGATTTGGAAGGAGCCGAAACAAGACAGAGGCCTGGGCTGGTCGTTGACGAATTGTCCGGAACTTTCATCTACAAATCCCCTCCGGATAAGCAGCTACGTGGTAAGGTTATGCCAGTGGGGGTGAGAGCGAAAATCGTGCACTGTATCGTTTGCCGGAACTGTTAGCCATTCTCTAGAAGAGGCTGGAGGCTAGTCGTTCTCGATCTGCCCGATCACGCAATTTCATTCCAGACGAGCAAGTTGATAGAACAACACACAGATGCAGATCAGACATAGTACACAATATGGGGTCGATGTTGAGCGCACCGAAGGCTTTGACTAGAGTTGGCGTGGACGCTCTAAAGATCGGAAGACCTAGACTAGGGTTTACCAGCCGCTGATCTTCAAGACGCTCCGCAGAACAAGGGCGATATTTGAAGCGAGTTTTGTGACCATATTACAATACACAGCTGAAAATTAAGGTGCATACCCTCGACACGGCTTACAGGCACTGGAGATGTATGATTACTATTGGCACAAGCATTAGCAAGAACGATATCTTACCTGGGAGTAGTAGCTGTTGACGACCGTGCAGGTCGAACCGGATTGGCAGGCAGTGCTACCGCTCCAGCCGATGCCGCCGCATTGGCCGTATTTGGCAGCGGGCGTGCCGGTGCCACTGCTGACAGGCGCAGAAGAAGTCTGAGCCGGCGTGGATGACGCAGGAGCGGACGAGTGCGAAGCGCTGGATGATGAAGACGCAGATTTCGAGGTCGGCGCGGGAGCACCGCCAGCGCCGGACGGCATGACGGTGGGGACGGTAGAAGGCTGGAGAGCGGTGTTCCACGTCGCAGTCGTTGGCCATGGAGTATTAGCAACGGCGGGTGACTGAGTGGCGTGGGGAGTCGGTCCGGGGATGGTGTACGCCGTCAGCGACTGGTAGATGTTGATGAGGATACCACTAGTAGTGCGACTCATGAATGCGTGAGCCATCAAATATTCGAAAATGCAACTTACGGGTCGCTAGCACTGTAGGCACCTGGGAACTTGACCTATGCGTCATGTTCGTGAGATGAGTTGAACCAACCGGTAGCTGGAACTTACAGTGGGAGGGGAAGCGGTCCCAGATCCGCCAACATTGATCTGGTAGCAGGATGTGTAAAACCTGTTTGCCTTTCAGATGGGTCATAACTTTGGAGAAACAACGCGTTGCTTACTGGGCACCTCCGGGGCTACTGGCAACGTGCAAAGCTAATCCCGATGGACCATCAACAAAGGCGTACAATTCGCAACAATGGAATGACTTACCAATGACCTCCGCCTTCAGGAGGTAATTTCCAGGAGCGATGTCCGAGGGAATAGTGACAGTGTAATGACCACAATTGTCCTGGATCGTTGCCCTGGTTCAGATCATCTTCTCGCACATCATGTAGCACGTCGCGCTCACGTTCAAAACTTCGGTAGCCCAGTAGTCAGGGCTGTCCGACGGCATGCCCATTTCGTCGATCTTGAACCAGTTGGCGTCGGAGCCCACGGCGGTGGTCGCATCGTCGACTTTAGCGAGGTAGACTTGCATCGGACCGAAGTGGTCGCCCCCAATGGCCTCGTTCGCGCATGAACGATCACCTGGCTGCTGGTGCATCTCAACGGTCACTTGATCCCCAGCTGATAAAATTTGTGAAATTGTGATCAGGCGCGCTAGAAATCAGCTGTCACTTACGCATGACGGAGCACACGCCGTTCGAGGAAGACGGATTGGCATTGCAAGCAATGGCCTGATATACAGAGAATGTCAGACTTGCATGCAAGCAACATGTTCATCACAAAACATGCCGTGCTGGTAACGTCCGTCACCGGTGAGTTGGACTGCGGGAGACGAACGCAAGTCGAGCCGAAGTCGACACCTAGATAGTGGTATTAGCCTTGACCTCCAGTAAACGAACGAAGCCTGACGTACCATTGATCCAGATCTCCTGGAAAGTCGCATGAGCCGCCACGGAGGCGATGAACGATGCAGCAACGGCGAGGGCCAACATCCTATTCCTTTTTGCGCAAGTCGTCGATGGGAGTCGCAACGACCTTGAGGAGCGATCTCTTGTCTCCTTCCAGCGCGCTATATACCCTGCCCTCACCCTCTCTCAATTCAGTTGCCCTCGAGACATCAGCGCGGGGCTAATCAAGTCAATATAATCGACAGTATGTCCGGTCTTCTTCCATCCTGCACCCTCGATCGAGGCGAGATGGTGACGGAGAGGTAGGTGTTGCATTCAGTCGCGACCTTGCCCACGCGTTCGGTGTGTCCAAAAATGTCTTGTGGCACGCACGGGGACGGACGAGGGCAACCCGCCCACGACCCCGCACCTCCACGTCCTTCTCGCAACTCCGATCCGAGAACGGGCTGATAAACTTCGGAGCCGGACTTTAGCCTAAGTTGTGATATGCTGAGCAAGTTTTTCCGAACGTCATCCCATGACGCGCGGGCGTGTCTTCGGCAGGTTACTCCGTTCCCTCCGAACTCGGGATGCGCTTCTTGGCGTGAATAACGTCGGAAGGTACGCATTGTCATTGCCCGGGTCCCGAGATAGAGCACGAAAGGCACCAATCTGGTACGCTTCGACGATATACAACTTACACAATTGCCACATCCGCAACGATATATGACGCACATTCGCCATGCGGACGTGAGGATGTATTCAGACGGCACACAGGCAGCGGAGATCTGTCACAGCTTGATATGGACACTAAGCATTTTGGACATGTACAAGGGGCAAGAAACGGGTACAGGCCACTTGCCGGTATAAACAGGTTCTCGTGTAGGAACATGAATTTGAGCAAAGCGGTGCCTAAGGGGGAAGACAAATCATTAGTGCAAGGGATAGAGAGTGAGACGGTGATCAGGCTTCAAGCATTTGTGTTCTTCCTGGACCGCACGACTTTGTTCCTCAGTGCCTTCTCCTTCAGTTCGCTTTCTCTTTTTCTCATCTCCGGGTCCTCGTCATCCTAAGTAACACAGGCAATAAGTGCCACAACGGTCCAATGTGAGGCGGCAATACATACGTTCCGGCCATCCTGTTCCTTCTTCTCCGCGGCAGCACGACCCTTGATCTTCAACTCGCCACGCGCCGAGTCGTCGACGTCCATAGCATTATCGCTTCCATCCCTGGTCCGGCTTCTGGATATGCCGGGGCTGTCTGACATCCGTCTCCTCCTTTCTCGCGGAGGGGGGCTCCTTCTGGTTCTGGGAGGAGGAGGCGGGGACCTAGAAAGGGACCTATTCCGACGACGTTTCGGCGGCGGCGATCGCGACCCGCGATACCTCGGCGGAGGCGACCTGGAACGCGACCTGTCCTCTCTCGATCCTACTGGACTCGGACTACGACGCCTTCCGTAATGGGGTGGTGTAGAACGCCTGTCACCTCGCCTGACGGGGCTGGGGCGCCGATTGCGGTCACGCGGAGGCGGAGGTGGGCTGAGACTGACCCGTGGGCGTCGGTCCCGAGGGGAAGGGCTATCGCGAGGACGACGGTCCCGAAGAGGAGGAGTGTACGACGGTGACCGTCCTCGTCGTGGAGGAGACCGAAACCTTCTGCGAGGCGGCGAGGCAGAACGCGACCGCGACCGCGACCTTGGAGGTGGCGAGCGCCGAGGAGACCGTCTCGGCGGAGGCGATCGTCTCCTGCCGGTATGCGGAGGAGGCGACCGTCTTGCTGGCGACCGTCTGCTCCTTCCGGGCGGTGGAGAGGGAGACTTTGAACTGCGCGTGTCGAAATTGTCCGGGGTTCGCGAGGGTGAGCGTCTCCTCGGCGAAGGCCGCCGTCGAGGCGGAGAGCGCGTCCGCGAGCGAGAACGTGAATTTGGCCGAGGACCTGCGCGCTAGTTGAATGATTATCATCAGGTTCCAACCTCTGCCAGGTGTCAGGGATCGCTCACGCCACCGCGACCGCCCCATCCGTTGTCCCTTCCTCTGCCTCGTCCTCCTCCACGACCACGGCCTCGGCCTCGGTCACTCCGGTCACCTCGGTCGCCCCTTTCCCGATCTCTTATTTCGTCCAACCTGGCCCGGCGATCTCTCTCGTCGATTGCTCGGGTGTCGCCCTCCCGGGCCTTCCTCATTTCCTCTTTCTTCTCCTCCACAAACGTTTTCGGGACGCCTGCGGGAGACTCCTGAGCCTCGAGAAGGAGGTTCCAGAGGGCTGACATGAAAGCGGGGGTAGATGAAGTGAGGAAACCGGTTAGGTTTATCTGCATCTTTTTCGGGTCCTGGATGGAGGGCGAGTGTATGTTAGCAACGACGGGTTCGACAGTGCTTTAGTCGCATGGACGTACAGGAAAGTTCTCATCCTCCATGAGACCCATGGCGTACTCGACGACGACCTCGTCTTCAAAGCCAACGAATTCAACCACCTTCTTGGTTACCCAAGGCCGAATGACCTGTAGATTTACTTTCCGCATATCGACCTAGTATCGATGTAGTTTGTTAAACGGCTTTGAGCAGCAACAGGTCTGATACGGACATACCTTTTTGTCGAATTCCGGGGGAAACTTGAGAGTCTTGAGGAGTTTGAGCTCCTTGTCGGAGAACCGACGGTCCTGGTCAGCGGACGTCCCCTTGAAAAATCCTGAATATAGTGAGTGACGGGGCATCCGCCGTGTGGAGTTGGCGCACCGGCATCAGCCATGACGAAGAAGATGAATGTGGATGTATGTGCTGGACAGGGTAAGAGGGAAAAGGAGCCGCTCGCTGTTGCGCGTCGCGTCGCGCGCGCTTGCTTGACTGGATTTTTTTCGCTTTCACCGCCTCTACGGATACACATACTTGCTGTCATTCCGTCGTCCTCAGGGTTTGCGTTCATACCGAGCGAAGATCTTCGACAGGAGCAATACAACAGTAGCACGTCCAATCTTTCCCAGTTCACCGTGGCCGGAGATCACTACACGCATTGCCGTAGTCGACGTCGATTTGTTTCTCGATGGCACAATACTCTTCGATATCTGACTACGCCCGGCACATATATCCTCAAATTGGGGTGCTCTCTCTCGACGATGGACGCGGTCGTAGGTTGATTGCTCGCAGCAACTTCATGGTAAGTTTTCTTTTTCCTTCATTGTCGATATGTCTATCAACGTTAAATCCCCTGATCTTGAAGTATTCTAGCCAGGCGACGTGATCTTCAGCGAGGCACCTGTGCTGCATACTGCTCACCCCATCGCACGGAACTTTCAGCCGACATCGGAGCTGGATATACCCTTTGATTGGCAGAGGCTCCTCTATCTCTATGGGTACTGTCGATCAAGCGGCGTCGAGACGGACCGTCTGAGTTTAGCCATGCATGACCTATCAACGTCCGCAGTCACATCGATAGCCAGCCGAATGGCTGATCCAGAACGCGCTTCAGAGTACAGGGAATGGGCCGAGCTCTGGATAACAGCTATCCCAGAATTGTCCGACTCCGTGCCGACTGTGACGGCGGACGAAATCGAACGTCTCCTCGCGATCCTGGAGACGAACTCCCACTCGCGTGATGAGAACGATCAAGTGGACCTCTCTGATCCTCGTTTGCCTCCGCCACCGAAGATAGACGACGAGCACAACTCCACCTTGATCGGGGAAGAAGACGAGGAGGAAAAAGACGAAGCGTGCGGACTATGGCTCGTAGCTTCCATGGCGAACCATTCCTGTATTCCGAACTGCGTCGTGCACATACCATCAACCCGCGGCCTCCAACCTAGCGCGGTCCCCACGCTACTTTTCCGCTGCATACGACCGGTCTTCGCGGGCGACGAGCTCACTATAAACTACCAGGATGATGAGTTCGCGCTTACGGACGACCGCCAGGCGCAGCTCTCCTCGCGCGGATTCAAGTGCACCTGCCCTCTCTGTACAAGTCAGATCCGAGAATATATGCGCAGCGCGACATGCCCATCTCCATCCTGTTCCCGCGGCGCCTCCTGTCCGCAACGCATCAGCGGATCCGTACAATGGTCATGCGACGCATGCGGAACGCGCCTTACTCCGTCTCAGGTCTCCGTCGTGGAAAAGCTGCAGGAGGATTGGATGTCGCTCTGGCCCTCCATCCTCGAAACGCTGGAGTCGTCGGCAGAACGACCTGCGGCGCTGCCATTCAACCTCCTGCAGTCGCTCACGTCGCTCGCCGAGCGCCGACAAGACCCCCACACATTCATACTCGGCCTCGACCTGCAACAGCACGGCTTTGGCGGCAACGTCAACCTGCACATCTCGCACGGATACGTATACGCCTTCCTCAAATTCATACTGTTCGAGCAAAGCGTCTGGCTCCGTCAGCGATACGGAGACGACGGTGTAACAGGAACTCTTCTCGCGGCCGCTGCGATAGTGGAAAGGGCGTATCAAGCGCTTCCTGAGCTCAAGGTTGCGAGCGAGGAGAGGCGCGCACTTGGATACTGGCTAGTGCGGGAAGCGAGGACGCGCTGGGGCGACGTGCATGGTCGCGAATCGTTCTGGGACGAGGTGGAGAGTATTGGATGGGCACGTTGGACGGAAGGCATGAAGATATTGTACGGACGGGAGGACGAGGATATGGGGTGATATATGAGACTCAAGGTATGATTTGCGGTATGATACTGGTTCTTCATACCGTAGTCATCCTAAATTGTGAAGGGACTCCTAGCAACATCCTTGTCAAGGGCTTCGATCATCAATCATCAGGGGGTTTGCGCGAAGCTATACACAGTATCACAGGCAAATAGATGGACTCATAAGGACAAAATGAATCCGCCTTCGCCCGGGATGAATTGTATCAACGCTCTTGCCTGAAGTGATCAAATGCATACTCGCTGTGTGGTGGACAACCTTCGTAAGTAGGACGACGCCGCTTACTGTGTCTTGTGACTTCAAGCTTCCGGTTCTAGCTCGTCGTGAGCGGGTTTCTACGCAAGCTAGCGTGTGAAAATGTCATCAGAACAATCGAGGACTGCTCTCCGCCGTCAAATCGCCGCCGTTCTATGTAGGCAAGCCCCTTCGACCCACAGTCCCTTCAACGTGATTACTACTATCGCGGATTGATCGCGAAGGTGACTGAATATGTCCATAGTACAGCCCCGTGTTACTACTGCTGGATAGTTGAGTCGTTTGTGCTCCAGCTGTGGTCAACGATCGATGGGAAGGGAAAAACAACTCAGGCACGGACACTCGATACTTGCTCAGTATCTCGGCACTCTTTATCGACGGGGGGCATCACAAACAGTTGGAGCTTGTCGACGGCCCCGTCAGTTGGCGCGTTGTAGCAGTGGTTAGGTTCTTCAACCTTACGGCAATCATGTCCTCTCCAATTTTTATCGCTTTTGTTGGATGTGAAGCTGAGAACGGCCGCCGGCATCTTGGCTGGGATCTTCTCACTAGATCGTCGGTTAAGGACGTCGTTACGCATTCAGGGCTCTGTGTCCAGACCGGAGATGAAGAAGAGCGGGCTCATGTCTATAAGTGTCTGACAGCTCAAAAAGGAAGGGACGTTCGTTTGTCTCCGACCTGTTCCTTGCCTTCCGACATACTTATGTGACTTCCGAATAGGATAGCAATTTTCTGGCTGCACGTTCTCGTTGTGCTGGCATGAGTTCCAATACCCAGTCTTCTCCAGCGGCGCTCGCAATTCAGGCCCATCCTGACCGATATCAGGGCCCCTGGCTGCTGGGCAGCCTCTTCTCGATGTTGTCAGTGTCCATTCCACTCGCGCGGGTCCGAAGTTTCGTATTCACTGCTTACGATCCGTTTGTATGTTCAGTTTGCAAGGCATCCTTCTGGTTCAAATCGACTCCTATTTCCGCACTTATCGGAAGGACGCGTTGCACACTCGTTCGTACGTGGCACTCATAGCCGCGTTGAATATGTTGGTACATTCAAAACAACACGCCGATTACTGCATTCTAACCTCGATACGGCATAGCCTTAAAAGCGCACAGACTGCGGCTGTAGCTTGGAATCTCAACGTTGAAAAATTCGGTGACTACGACGCGCTCGCCGTTGGTACGTATTTTCGGTTGGTACGGCATTGGATGACTGAACCCTGTATATTCAGGCTCGTGGTACCAGATGACGACCTCGTTAAGCGTAAGACGCGCACGCTAGCTCACGATGCATCACTAACACTTTCTTCCAGTCCGGCATTATCAGTTTCGCTGTCCAAGGCTATTTCACGCTTCGTCTCGCAAAGCTTACCAACAGAAACATATTTCTGTTGACACCGCTCGCCCTGCTCACTCTCTTCGGGCTCAGCGGTGCCATAGCCATGGTGCGCAGTCGTGAAAATTAATCTTGCGGACGTTATTAACTGTCGACTAGACGGTGATAACCATGAACATGGTATGAGACATCACCCGTCGTATCTTCGTTGGTAAGTGAAGTGATATACCTGCCATGTAGGGAAGCAGCGCTGGGAATGTAGCAAAGTTCAACGACCTCGTGGTGAGTTGCATGCCGCGAAGAGACTAGTAGATATTCAATTCCTCTTTCGCAGAGCATCAACGCTGGTAGTGTTCTCGGTGAGCCACCGCATCCTCCGCATGAAGAAGTATGCTCATCGGTCACAGGAGCGGATGGTATCATCACTGGCGCATGTATGGGCACCTCTTGAACGATGTCTCCTCACCCTGGTCATCCGTCTCCAACAGTGCTATACCTCCTTATCAGGTCGAAAACAGGATACAAGGCTACGGATCGGCTTGTCAACAAAATCGTCCACGTAACGTGGATGTCGGCATTACCACCGTTCATCTGCGCATTGCTCAACCTCGTTACATATCTTACAATGTCGAAATATAACACCTGGTTCATTACGTGAGTCACAGATTTTACCGTGTGACACTAGTACTGTGCTCATACCCGCTTCCCAGCTTTAACATGACTTTGTCCTATCTGAATTCGGTGTCTATGATGTACTCGGTTAGTCCTTTTGCCGCAGCTGTGATAACCATGATATTGACGGGCAGCGTGCCTGCAGCTCAACTCGTGGGTCGCAATACTTGCTGCGCGCCGCATTCTTCCTTATCGATATTATCCAGCCGTACGAATTGGCGGGAAGATGTCGTCCCCGGGACCGATCAGAGTCGTGGTATTACCGGAACCCTTGAGGCACTGTCCTTTGCCGTTCCAAGCACCATGAATATCCAAGACTCGAAGCATACTATTCAGACCACGTCAGACTCACATTGAGTACGTCATGGTGGTTTCTTTCGACAAGATGATGGCTTTTTAACATGCTGAGATTTCAGATTTAATCCGTTCGAACGCATGAGCTATACGGATGGGGATCGACCCGGGGACACGCGTAGAGAAACCATATACGCACTCCGGAGACTTCTTCTCCCCCAGAATGCACTTCATAGACAATTTCTCCCGTAGTTGCATTCAGTAGCTTTACTTAGTATCCGCCATATTGAGCCAATAATCGCCGCTGGAATTCAACTGCACAGTTGTAATGGCAGTCGAAGCGGCAGTCGAGTGATTAATCGTGTAGAAATCAGTAAGCACACGACGGTTCAATGCACACCTCAAGCGCACCGCGCATTCCCGGCGGCAGCGGATATGTTGAGTCTCCAACCGTGAGATCCTTTCAGCTTGGCATCACTCGATTCTGTCTTACATATATGTCGAACCCGGATATGTACATCGGTACGGCTGTCTGATACTCGCCGACTGAGTATGCGGTGTAGTCCAACATATTTTATCTGAACATACCTTCAATCATGTGTCCGGCGTTTCATTCACACACGCAATCTCAACGCAATCTTATTTTCTCTTTTCTCAAGTGACAATGACAGATTTTCCGCGGCCCGCCTATACGCGTGTTACGTAACACGCGTCTCTTCGATCCTCTGCGTCGCGCAAAATATCCTCCGCGTCGTACGACCTCATACATCTGACGAGTCGACGGCCGCGTTATATACCCTCGTAGTGTATCCCTGAGGCTACGTTCAGGCTACCACGTTGCCCCGTCATAGTCATGGTGAAGTCGAAGTCGTCTGGCGCCTCAATCAAGGCGAAGAGCATGACCAGCGGTGGTGTTGGTATCCGTTCAGTTTGCATTAGGAGTCGCTGAACGACTCATGTAGGTTGATGGATTCTTGCGGAAATGGGTAATCCGGTTCGCGGTCGTTGGGATCTTCGTGGTAGTTGGCCGGTGGTTGGACAGTATCAAGGTGCGGGGCTTCCCCTTCTGCGCGTCCATAGCGTGTTTACCAGGCGCGAAATAGCACCATTGGTATGTTTTCGACCACGTTGCGTTGCACGAACTCGCGAAGTCTGCCGTGGACCTATACCCGAACGATACGGCTGCGATGATTCAGCACATCGTGACAAACCTCACTACCGAATTTCCGAGCGACGAAAAGCGGGTACGCATGGTGCCTCAATGGCTCGGCCTGCGCTGCTAACGCTACTCGTAACAGATACGAATCAACCCGACGATTATCCAATACCCCATAGACTCGGCCGAGGTGAAGCGGGACTGGGTGTTCAACAATGCTGGAGGCGCGATGGGAGCTATGTATCTTATCCACGGTATGTCTTCTGTTCGCATGCTATGAGAAGTCGCCTCCATCTCTGACTTCAATGCCTGCCTAGCGTCTATCACTGAATACCTCATCATCTTCGGCACTCCTCTCGGAACGGAAGGACATACAGGACTTCATCCCGCTGACGACTACTTTAACATCCTATACGTTCGTGACGAGCTGCTGCACGACGAAAAGCCCTGTGTGTTGACCGAGTTGACAGGGTGAACAATGGGCATTCGCTCCCGGTGCACTCGACAAGGAGGTATACCGCCCTGGGGACGTGCACCACCTTCCGCGGGGCACCACGAAGCAATACAAAATGCACGAAGGGTGCTGGGCGATGGAGTACGCTCGTGGTACGTCCTCCAAACCGGAGATGTTGTCGACATCCGTTGGCTGATACATTCCTTCGAGCAGGATGGATCCCCCTTATGCTACCATTCGGATTCCTCGACGGGCTCACGTCCACCCTCGACGTCCCGACGCTCTACCACACCGTCCGGATCACCGGTCGGGAGATCATAAAAAACTTGCTTGTCGGTAAAATATGATATACTCATGTATGCTTGCGTGACCATATACGTCTTATTTGCTACCAACGCTGCTGATCATGAGACATGATGCGAAGCAAGGCAAATACGTTGCATTTCTTCCTACAAGCTGAAACGCATTATCCGACATGCCGGAAGAGCATATATAGAAGGTCACCCGGATGCCACAGAAGGAACGAGATAACCGAGAAGCGTACAAGCGTACAGCTCGCGATCAAGCTAGTCTACCAAGTCCTACCATTCTTAGTCGCCCATGCAATGCTACAGGGTTTAAGATACAGAATAATGGACAGCATAAGGTTACACGCATACCCACAGACCCAATTCCACGAACATTCCGTATATCATACCACATACTCATTCCGCATATTGCTGCTTGAGCCCAGCAATCAGGACATGCATGTCGAAGAGGCTGATCTTCTGCTGGCCGACGAGATCCTTCAGGAAGCCCTCGGCGATAGCAGGTGTGCTAATAAGCACGCGGAGATGCTCGGTCGTCTTGAAGCCCGCTTCCTCGAGCACGGGTTTGAGATGCGACAGGTCAACGCCGCACGTCTGGAGGAACGTCTCGACGTCGGCTGGGGCATGTACGCCGTTGACCGCCCTCTGCTCGACCTTTGGCTTGAGCAACCGCCGGCTTCTAGTAGACTTCGAGACGGTGATGACTTCCTCGTCGTCCTCGTCGTCGGAATCCGGTCTATGGCTGGCGTCGCTAGCGGCGCGACGACGGGTGATGCGCTTCGGGGAGTCCTCCTCCTCCTTCTTGGTAACATACGAGCGAGTGGACGTGCCGACAGGGCGCCCGCGACCGCGGCCACGACCTCTGCCACGACCACGGCCACCGCGACCGCCACGTCCTCCACGACTACTACTGGATGTATGTGGGGGTGCCGAGGCGCTTGCTAGCGGCCTTGGCTTATTCTGCTGAGGTATTAGTCGATGCATTCGTAGCTTCGCTTGAAACTATACCGACCGCGAGGAACTCGTCGATCTTATCGTAGATATCGTCGTGGACCCACAAGGCGTCTTCTCTCACGTTGTCAGCGTGGTCTTCGTTCTTGACGAATCTGTGAACAGTGGCACTACTGCAGTTGATAAAATCCGCGACGTCTGCAACCGGATGAAGACGTAAGTTGTAAGCGAAAATACGAAGGGTCGCCCGCAGGTCCTATACCTTCTAGAGAATACCCCCTGTCGCGCAGCAGACGCATAGCAGCCCTCTCATGACGATTCAAGCCATTTGCAGCGCTGAGATAATGAGCTTCAGCTGATGTCCACGGTGTATGGGATGTATGCGCTTACCCCTTCTTTTTGAGGCGATTGCCTACCACAGCAGGAAAAGGTTTTGTCGGACCAGAGCGCGATCCATTGATTTGAGAACTAGAGCTCGGGACTACGAAAGTGTCATTGATGATCGAGAATAACGAAGAGGAAGTCACGTACTAGGGATATCGGCCTTCACCGGTTTCGGTTTCGGCGGCTGTTTGAAATGAGGTCAAGAGGTGAAACATCTCAGTTACGAAGGAGTGCTCACCGGCGGCGGGTACTCGTCAGTGAACCCTATAGGGACGTTCTTAGGGTCTTCGTCAACGTCGTCCGGATCCTCTTCGTCATTCGCTATCGCAGATTCGGCAGCGAGCTTGGAGCAACGGATCCTACCGCATATCTCTGTCATGCAATAGAACAATTCCAATTGGCAATGATACGAATGAGAGCAGTTCGCGCTACTCACCTTCGATGGGTAGCCCATTGTAATGCATCAACCTAATTTGCGCCCTCTGCATGCGATTCAAATGTTGTACGCTGCGCATATAGAGAGTTTAGCTTTGTAAAGCAGTGTCTCTCTGTGAGCGCTACTCACGGAATGCAATTATCCGCAATGAATCCGAGGGCCTCCGGAAGTTCTTCGTTCGACAATTTTCGATGCTTGGATTCTGGAAGTTCGGTGTCCACTGAACGAGAATCCATCAGCGTTTCATACGAATAACGCGGGTATGTTTTCATACCTTGCATGTCGTGCTCATCGCTCTCTTTACGTTTGATAGAGTTCATGTTCAGAACTGGATGATACACCATAGACAGTATAGAGGCAGGAGGATAAGGAGACGCGATGATGTAGGTGATGGACGGGGGAAGTAAATGATGAAGGACCTCGTCAATCTACCGAATATCGCGGCGACAGGGGACCCGCGAGAGAGCAAAATCAGGTGACTAAACTCTCTAAATCAACGGACATTCCCATCACGTGCGCATCAAGCAATCATTGAATTTGTTTTCCTTAGTATTATTCGTCCTCTCCTCTGCTCATCAGACGAGCACCGGTTGCTTTCTGTTTGTCTTCTCTCCTTCCTTGGTACACATGCTACGGTCTCGATTTGAATCGTAACATCCGGTCCTTTGCGGGTTCGCTGCGCTGCACCGGGAGAGTGGTCGGTCGTTCGCACCTTACATGGAGGCGCATCCATCATTTTTGTGGGTTACCACAACAATTTTGCAAGATGGTACCATCTGAACTGTGCTTTGAACCCGACTCCAGTACTGAAACTTGCACAGAAATCATCTGGATTGCTCAGCTCTAGGACCTTCGCCCTCAGACTATGCGATTGCGTCTACACTCCCGGCTCGTCCATCGGGATACGTTTCATCACGACGCACCGCCTCCTTCGGCAAATGCTACGCGTACTCAGTTTCCGTCTTCGACGGCGTATTGAGATTGGCTCCGTGGTCATCCATGAACGATCCACCTTGATGACCTCACTTGCCGGTCAGCCAGATGTGACCATAAAAGGCAACGCGGCGTCGGTTCGGGAGGAAAGGCCGACTCCGTAGTCAGAACACAGCTTCCCCAGGGGACGCAGTCGGCCTTTGGATGTCTATTGCCTCCAAACGGAGATGCCATTTCATCGTTCCTCTGCTGCGGGTGGCAAACTTACGGAATTCGCGGCTGCCGACGTTTGTACCCAGGCACACTCACAACGATAAACGTCGTATCACTGAGCACATACTGACGCGTCGCGGAGTGGGTCTCCGGTCGGCTACTGTCCTGGACTCATGCGGCATCAGTGCTCCGTCAGCGACTCCATGGCATATGCGCAGATATAAAAGACCATTGCTCACTCACTAACATCTTCATTCGTGCGTTGCGTAACTAGTTGCAGCGATACAACGCGACCATGACCTCTCCATCGCAACAATTCACCTGCTATCGACATCTGCACTTTGTCGGCGCTAACCCGAGCATCCTGCATTGCGATGTCGTTGACTCACAGGGAACGGCGCACTACCGTGTTCAGTCCAACGTGGTCAACGGGATACTGTTGACAACGGTGACAGATGCCGCCAATCGCACGCTTGCCCTGATTGATTGGCAAAACAACCCTGCAGTCGAGATCAGCGGCTTCCTTGGGCGAACATCAGTAGCGGAATGGTTGGAACGCTCCCCAGATCTGCGGTAAGTCAGCCTCATTGTCTATCCTTTGGTCGTGTTTAACAGGTTGATTCAGAGCTCGATATATGGAAGTGGGGAAAGTGCGCTATACGTGGCAGCCCGTGGGCAATTGCATTTATGTGCGTTTCTCATCCGTCTCCTGTTCACACCCAATACTGACGTCACGTAGTTGACGATACAGTTATCGGCCGATCTCTCGACGCCGCCGCACATTTTATGCCGGGTTAGCAAGACTGGGGCGGAGGTTTCTTTGGAGCTCGACAGCGATGCTTCACGTCTTGGCATCGAGCTGCCGGCTGCGGTCGCTACTATCGTACTTATGAGCGGCAGGAATATTGATTGATGGATCGGGCCAAGCTGTGAGTAGGAGAGCTTCTGGGCTGCGAGAAATCGTCGCTGAAATGTGGGGCGTGCAGTTTCCTTAGATCCTAGCATATGTGACCGTCTATTAATGCAGGTGTAACTCCCTATGACATTCCACAACTATGACTCATAATACACGTTCTTAAGTCACATCAACCGGCCAACGATTCGCCGGAACATGCTGACCAAATGACTGTAACTCAGGTAGGGCGTCTCGACACAATCGGAGGCTGATTCTCTCTGTTAGAGCTCCCGTTCAACCGTCCATAATTGCTACAGATGCTGCGGTTGACCTGAAACCTGTTCATGAACTCCGACGGTCTCCGCGTGGTTGCGGGTGGTTTCACTCACTGCGCGCCGGACGATCTGGTCCTGAACCGACTGCGCCTGTACGCACTATGGTTCTGCACGCTGCGCTTCCACTTTCGCTGCAAGCGCATCGTGTCGGGCTACACCGGGACAAGCGGACGGAGGGATAGCCCGAAAGATCGTTTGGCTCCACGAGACCACAGCCACGCGAACCGGATCCGGACTGCGCTCTCCCGATTGGGAAATTCTCGCCGGGGTGCTTGTTCATAAACTTCATGAAGCGCAGGCGGCTCAAAGGACGATCTCGCGACCAATCTACTCCTTTGGCGACGTGCGAGCGAGATGCGCGATCCTACCATCGGGAAACGCAGCTCCCGATGCTTCCGCGGTTGGGAGCGTCGCGTTGCGCTCCGGTCAATCATGAACCATGCAGCGTTCAGGCGAAATGGAGACTGAGTAACTCTCTTCCCAGGTCTAATGCTATTGCCGGTGGACGGGGCGTTGCGAGTCGAGCTTGTGGGTCAAATTCCCATTCATCCGGCAGCTAGTGCTTAAATATCGACGCAAGAGCAGACTCCATCACTCACCATTCATACCATGGATTTCTTCCTGACTCAGTTCTCCCTTCACTTCGTGTCTTTCTCCCCGACTATCCTGTCATGCGATGTTGTTGACTCCAACGGTGGTCCTCGTTATGCCGTACGGACGGAGCTGCTCAACGGAACCCTCGTCACCACTGTGACGGACGCACTTGGCAGAGCTCTGGCAATCTTGGACTGGAAGAACAAGCCAGCAGTCGAGATCAGTGGTCACATAGGGCGGCAGGCCGCCTCGGAGTGGCTTGTGCGTTCCGAGAATGGAAGGTCCGTGCATTCTTGAATGCGTTTATTAGCCTTGACTGCAAGTTCAAACCTTCCAGCGATGCCAGCTCAAGGACCATGGAAGTAGGAAGAACGCGGTATACCTGGACCGCCTCAGGCAATCATCTGCTGGTGAGTGCTTATCCTGGCTGAATGGTGCTAATAATAACTACGTCACTGATGGATGCGTAGCTCACCGTTCAGAGAGGGCCTGTCTTCATGTCCACGCAGCATACGCTGTGCCGCGTCTACAAAACGCGGGAGCAGGTTATATTAGAGTTTTCGAACGATGCACTAGCTCTAGGCCTCGAGCAGCCCGTTGTTGTCGCTACGATTATCCTAATGAGCGGACGCAACATTGACTGGTATGAGGCAAGCTTTTCATCGATTTACATTGATCGATGACTTCGTTGTTTAAAAGACAGTTCCGCAGCGCCTACAAGTCAAATACGAACCTCGGGGTCATTCGGTTACATAGATTATTGCTTTGATGCAGTTCGAATCGACACGTTTACCATATAACTCCTATTCATGACATTCGTGTGCAGTCAGCGACGCTGAACATTCTTCGTTTTTCTGATTGTTATCCACGCGTTTTGGTATGCCTGAGATCAAGGTGAGCGCTCTATGGATGTGATCCATACACTACTACGTACGCGGATTCGGAGTAAGCCATGTTATCGGTCGGAGATATCGACATAGAGATAGGCGCACTGATATTGATGAGTATTCGGAACTTCTCTTGAGGTGTACAGGAAAAAAAGGGTATCTGCGGGACAGAACCTCAAACTACCCAATATTGAAAGGCAGCGGCGACTCGCGAGGAGCCAGTTGGAAGAGAATGAAATAAGTGTAAAAACATTGAAGGGATACCAGCGATGAGCCACAGAGCAGTGAGCGACTGCTAAAATTTTAGTGAAAGAGTGTGTAGGGCAACTTGATGCAACGAGTTCTTGGTCGTGAAGGAGGGCCGTTGTTGAAGCTTCGGAGGTGGAAACGTGAACAGCGGCGGCACTGCGCGCGGGTAGGGAGGGGCTCTTCTTGCCCTCACGTTCTCGCTACTGCATCCTACGTAGGATATCTCCTATAAGATGACGGTGCGCGGTCAGAAGGTTGCAGCGACGTTCACGGGTCGCGTGTAGAACTTGATGGCCATAGTGCGTGAGAACATAGGCGAGGACCAGCATTTTCACCTCTACGCTCTCAGGCTGCCATCTGCCACGACGACAGTTTGTGCCGAAGCGCAGTGCATTCTAAGCAGCTCTCTACCAGACTCGTAGTAGCTGGCCCAGTTCAAGGAGCACTCCAGACACCCGTTGTTCGCGGCCAGTTATAAAACAGCATGGGCTTGTGCTCACATCGGCTCGGAGTGCTGTTGATCGCGCAGACTACGAACGCGCTGGATGTCAATTTCCGACAATAGATTGACGACAGCGTCTATATCTGCTCTGCTTGACCCATGGTACGTTCATGCCTGCGGCCTATTCGGCCCGCCTCGCGCTATTCCGTTTTATGTTCTTTTTACAGGAGTTCTGCGCTGGCTTTCCAACACATAGTCACCACGTCATTTCTTTCGTCCATCCAATTTACATGCTGATTACATGGCACATTGGACGCTGTAAAAAAATTACTGCCAAGCTCCCTACGACCGCCTTGAATGTCGAAATGTCGGCAGTAATCACCTTTCTGTCATCGCCATACAGTACAACGCGTGTTCCGTCCCACTCCGACCGGGTTACGTTCCGAAATTGAACGGTCCTGTGGAACTCGCCCCGCGGAAATGCAGAGCTCTGAGTTCTTCATGTTAAGCCCGTATACACCGCCGCGACCTTCGTTGTAAAAGCCGGTGGAGAATCGACAAAGTAGAAAAGGCGTCGCCTTCGCAATGTCAAGCCGTTGAACATCATCCGAGATGGCTGCCTTTGCAAGCTCTCTGCACTTCGTCTCTTTCTCGCCCACCATTTTGTATTGCAGCGTGGTGGGATCCAACCGCGCACCGCGATACGTTATACGTTCGGAGACAATCTTTGGCACGCTGTCCACCACGGTCAAAGACCCGGCTGGAAGAACCGTGGCCCAAGTTACATGGGAGAACTCTCCGTCTATTCAGATCCAGGGCTACCTCGAGAAGCAGCCTATCAGTCAATGGCTTGCGCGATCTTCGGACGCAAGGTCAGTCTCCAACTATGCACTGTTGTCTTGTTGGCTGCGAGCTAACACCGGAGTCACCGTATTCAGTTCCAGAACCATGGAGCTCGGCGCTATGCACTATCGATGGGTTACGCATGAGGACAACCTCTGCGTAGGTCCTGACAACGCTGAAAAGAGCGGTACACTGACGGATTCACCGTAGCTGACTATGCATCTCCGTCCGGGGGCTGACGTTTTATGCCGCGTCACGAAGACCAGGGACATGATCACGCTCGAGTTGACTCAGAACGCAATAGTCATTGGTCTGGAACTGCCAGCAATTGTTGCTACCATGCTGTTGATGAGCGGGAGGAACATAGATTGAATAGCAAGGGTTTCTCTCCAGAGCACCTCGTCGGACCTCATAGTTATTCGGTATGCCTGCTAGTTTCGAACATTCATGTACACCGCCTGTCATTGAATATCTGTCATGCTTCTCTTCACTGCGTAATAAGAACGTACTCGGCGCCGCCGCTGAAAGCGAGTTAACGTTCATATTATGACGACCGGAGGGCAAGATAGCCTCTCTCGAGTGTTCTCGCTCCATGTGCAAGATCAATGCAACAGCGCAAGCCATCCAAGGTTACAACGCCAATAACCATGGGCGCGTCACTCAATTCAGCGATTGGCCCTGAGCGCGACTCTGCGGCGAGTGAAACGGGTTCAGAATTCAATGTACGCAAGAGCGGAAGGAATCCGGTACCAAAGAGAAACGGCGCCCACTCCAACCATTCACACGGGACGAAGTCGAGGTATCGACGGGGCGGTTGAGAGTCATTCTAGATCTCTCGGTGTGGAGCTTTGCAACTCTCGGATCTTCCGGCCATACATTCTTTGGCCCGCCGGTGGGTCCGGGGAACCTGGAATCAGGTCAGTTCTTACCGGGGAAGTAGAATCAATCAAGCGGCTCACAGATCCCTTCGCGGAAACATGCCGCGCGCTCCTCTGAGAGCATGGGGTTGCGAATTATTGCAGTTGACTCGAATGAGCGTGTCACAAGCGGCGAGCGGCGCGGTGAGAATTCAGTGTTCCCTTCCACAAGCATCGGCGTCAGCAAGAACCGGCATTCAGACCCGTTACACGCGCCATGGTGAATAGACATCTCAGCGAAATGAAGGTGAGAGATCGGAACTACGGATCTTCTTCTTCTTTTTGTTTTTCCAAAAATGCCATTGCGCGGCATGGTCTGAGTAATTGGAGGGTTGCATTCACAGGGAATATGCCCTAGTATAGCGATAAGTGATCACTAAGTCGAAGGCGCGACATGGCGTGTTCACTGCGCTATTCATCAGTTTTGGAATTTGTATGATTATGATGCTGACCGCTAAGTCCGTCTCTGCCACCGGATCAATACGAGCAGCCAGGCTACAAGCATGGAGCGAGACAAACAAGGGTGTTTGCTTGCAAGGTCTAAGTGGGTCGCAAAGCCCACTTGATGGTGACATAGTAGGGTTCTCTGGAATCTAACCCCGGGCTATGAACCCGGCTGGGATAAGAGCAAAGATCAATAGACCATATTCCGTCCCCCCTCCCCTCCCCAAACTAAGACTTGAAAAGAGTAGAAAGGACTGACGACGGAAAAGGGGACCCATACCACGTGGCGGCATATCTCAGATCTCTGACTGCCAGTGCCACCGTGACCCCGAGAAGAGATACTATCGAACGCACCTCTCGCTCAAGATTAGGATGAGATTTCGAGGATATACAGCATTATTACAATCTGAGATTTAAGAAAAGAAAAAAGAACAGGAACAGGAACAGGAACAGGAACAAAAGAGGCGAACAACCAAAGAGAGACATGTATATATGCGCGTGCTGCTGGAATGATCTCCTGGAGTCCCAAGGTCTGTGTATGTACTTGGAAGGGAAAAGAAAAGAACGAGGCTGTGTAGATGATAGTAGTGAATGGAACGGAGGCCAAGAAAACGCAAGAATGAAACCTTGAGACGCAAAACGCTCTCCCTCCTTTCCTTTCGCCCCTTCCTAGTTTCCCTAGAGATGATGATGGCGACGACATCCAACAATATGAACTGATTCCATCCAAGATTCCCCTCCCATTACACTTCGGCCCGATTAGTGGCTCCGCATGTGCTCCATGGTACCCCAAGGAGCCTGCTGTTGTTGTTTTTGTTGTGCTGCTCCGTAGTCCGTGCCGAGGCCGCGGAAAGGCGAGGCCGCGACGACATCCTCCGGGCGCTGCATCGTCGGCGGCGCGCTCTCTGTGCCACCCATATCCATCCCGACTCCGTACGAGCCGGCGGTATGCTGGTGGTGCCCGTTCCCTGCGCCTTGCCCATGGGCAGGTGCAGGGTCAGACCCCGACCGGCCCTTCTCAGCTAGCGTGTTCGGACGTCCGGCGCCGGCGGCGCCAGACCCAGCCGAGTACGTCCGCGTCTTCAGACCGTTATCGTCCTTGCCGCGGTCCCTCTCGTCCACCGCGAGGCTCTCGAACCCCTTCGCGAGCAAAGTCGACTGCGCGTCATCGTACCAGCTCGTCGTCGTCGTGCTTACGGGCGACGGTCCGTCGCGGCTGCTCGACGGCGTCCCCTCGCTCGTGCTCGACCCTCCGCTCTGGTTCCTCGTTATACCTTCCCCCTCCCTCCCACGCCCTAACCCGGTCACAGGCGGGAAATACCCCTGCTCTTGGCTCGGCTCCAACAGTTGCTGGCTTCCCGACACCGACCCGGCCTCCGTCCTTCCTCCCGACCCCGACGCCGAGCTCGTATACTGCACAGGCGGGAAGTAACCCCCTTCCTGGCTCTGTCCCGCCCCTGCTCCTTCCTCCTCCGGCGGGCGGTGCACAGGCGCTCCCACGGCGGGGTTGATGTACGCGTTCGCGCCCGCTCCCCAGAAGTTGCCCGGCGTGAGCGCGACGCCGGGGCTGAACGGCAACCCAGGGCTCAGCACGCCCATCGGCGTCGGCGGGCCCATCGCAGCCGCGGGACTCACCCCGGCAAAGAACGGGTTCGGGTGGTGGCCGTGGGGATGCATACCCATCATCGGCCCTCCCGGGCTACCGGGGGCAACGGACGGCGAGGGCAGGTGCGGCGACATCTGGGGGAAGAATGTGAAGGACGGCATGCTGGGCGTGATCGGCGGCAGACCGGGCGTCATCATCATCCCCCCGTGCTGGTGCTGGTGCTGGTGCTGGCCAGGGTGGTGCATCGGCGACAGCTGGTAATGGTGAGGGGGCGTCATCATCGGTGGCCCGTGAGGGCCGCTCATGAGATGCGGCGAGAGCGTTCCCAAGGCGGGGAACGCGCTGATGGGTGGCGGGGGTGGAAGCGGGATGGTCCCAGGATGCGACGAGTGCCGTCCGACGGAGGGAGGCTGAGGCGATGACGATGGCGACGACGAGGTGCCGGCCGTGCTGAGCACCGAATCCGACGTCGCCCTTTGCGTCTGCGCGGACGTTCCCGAGGTCATCGACGGGCCGGACCGATCAGACGACGGCGTCGTGTCATGCGAGTTCCCGCTAGAGCCCGAAGCTGAGTCTTGCGGAGAGAGCGAGCTCGCGAGCGGATGGCGCCCCCCGCTGGGGTTCTGCAGCAGCGAGCTGACCGAAAACGCTGAGTATCCTCCTCCTCCATAAGGCGAGTAGTACGGCGAACTCGGTCCGGACGGCGGGCCGACGTCGAGGTGGTATCCCTGGGGCATGCTGATATGCCCCGGTGGGCCCTGATGGTGATGTTGGTCCTGTCCCTGGCTACCTCGCCGGTCTTGCAGGTATTGCGACTGACTCTGCCAGGCCTGCTCTCCCGTGGGCGACGATCCCTGGAGCGCGAACGGAGAGAGCGCCCGGGAGGTTGATGCTTGTCCTTGTCCGCCCAACGATAACGATAGCGGTGAGTGGGGTAGGTGCGACATCGCGCTCAGCAGAGCGCCCGCCGAGGACACGCCGCCGAACGGCGAGTGCGCGAACGCCGACCCCGGGATGGGTGACGTCGGCGCCGTCGCGGGCTGCGACAGGCTCCCAAATTTGTCAAAGTGGACCTTCAAGGGCCTGCCGTTGTATTCGTAGCTGCGACGAATGCGTGAGCGATCATGGGTCGCAAGTAATAGGGCGTATGTACGGAACGAAGGTGGTCAAGATGAGTTCTCAAATGGACGAAAACAAGTGTCTGAACAATTGAAACAACCCGGAAGGATGCAAGGGACAGGGATGCACACGTGTGCCCAAATACACATGCGCTCGATTGGGGTGCAATAAAGAGAGAAAATCGAAGGATAGTGCGCATATACGCCCGCGCCCGCGAACCCATCCCAAGAGGGCGCACACCCGACCAGAGTTGCGACACAGAAACCAAAGCAGGCCCGCCAGAAACCGAAGGGAGAAAAATAGAGAAGAAAAAAATAGCGGAGGCGCATATACGCCTACGGAGACCGTCCCATAACGGCGAGAGAACGCGTATGAAAGAAAAAGAAAAGAAAACGCGCATACGCCAAGAAAAAAGAAAATCCTAAGCCTCCCACTGCACGCCAAACGAGAAGGAAACAGACGAGAACAAGAAAGAGATAAAAGAGAGAATCACTAACCCATTAAACATCCTCACCGCCCTCTCCGCGTCCGCCTCCGTCGCAAAACTGACCATACCAAACCCCCTGCTCCGCCCATCCTGCCCGAGCGCGACGTCCGCCCTCAAAATGACGCCCGCCTGGCGAAACAGGTCCTTCAGGTCCTGCCACTGCGTATGGAACGGGAGCTGGCAGCACGTTCGGAAAAAAAAAAGTCAGCACGGCTGGCTATATGGGCGAGAGAGGGGGGGGGGAAGACTCACGTTCCCTACGAACAGCGTCCGACTCGGCGGACCCGGCGCGGGTCCGGGTCCCAACCCGCCCGCGCTGCTCCCGGGCCTCGACGATCCCTGGCCGAGCTCGCCCAACGAATGACCATGCCCGCCCAACGGCGTCCCCAACCCCATACCTCCCAAAGCTCCAACACCACCTCCCAACGCTCCAACGGCCCCTCCCAACGCTCCAACGGCCCCTCCCAAAGCTCCAACACCACCTCCCAACGCTCCAACGGCCCCTCCCAACGCTCCAACGGCCCCTCCCAACGGCGTCCCCGCCCCTCCCCCTATCGGCGTCCCCACCCCTCCCATCCCGCTCCCCACCGCGCTCAACGGATCCGCGCCCTCCCCGAGCCGATCCGGCCTGACCTCCAACACCCTCGTCTGCCACGAGTACCCGTTAAACATGTCGATCGCGCGCCCGGCGTCTTCCGCGGAGGCGAGGAGGACGGTGCCGTACCCCCTGGAGCGGTTATCCGGCCCGAGGGAGACGTCGGCGCGGAGGACGGTGCCGGCTTTGCGGAAGAGGTCTTTGAGGTCTTGCCAGCGGACGCGGTAGGGGAGCTAGAGGGGGGGTCATCGGGGTTCGTGTCAGTCTCAAGAAGTCAGAGCAGGGATACATCAGGAAAAACCGGAATTGATAAAAACCTCCTAAAACGTACTAAAACGTGCTCATTTAGTAGCTTTAGAGGGTTTCGGTACCCAATAAGCGACTCTTTCGATAGTCCGATTTTTCCTGATGTATGGGTGAAAATGGACGGAAGTGTCGATTCGCCTTGTCCCGATTCGATTCGGAGGGAGCCTGCGATCCACGATCTCGCATACCCCATCCACCAATCACCCAAAGCGCATACAGCCCCGCCCCGATCCGACGAGAAACAAGAAATAAAGACATCCGAGAGGAAGAGAAGGGAAAGAGAAAGGAAGGGAGGAGGAAGAGGAAGGAGGATAACTCACGTTGCCCACGAACAGCTGCGTGCGGGTGTCGCGCATAGGCGCGCCGGGCGAGGACATGTGCGACGCGGTCGCCATCTGGATGACGGCCTCGATGTCGTCGTCCGTCGGCGGCGGGCGCGAGGGCGCGGGCGAGGCGGCGGTCAAGAGCGCTCCCGCTCCTGCTCCGATGCCGCTGCTGCCCGGACGCGACAGAGCGGGATTAGTCGTGTTCAGGATCGCGTGCGTGGTCTGAGGTGGGGGTTGGCCTAGTGGTGATGACGATAACGGCAGCGACGGGTGGGTGTGGTTGTTATTGTTGGTGGTGGTGGTGGTGGGGTAGTCGGGTGCGGGTCGCGACGAGTGGTCCTGGTGTTACGTTCAGCGATGGATCGGCGAGGCGCCCGGAGACGGTGAGACGCACTGCGAATAAGGCCATGGCGCTGCTGTGTACGGCGGGACGCGCCGCTATTCACATCCAGAAGCTCCGCCTGCCGCGGGGCGCTGATTAGCAGGAGGTGCGCGCGCGCTGGTCGTGGCTGGTCGTATGTTGCTGGTGTAAGCCGCAGCGGGGTCGCGGTCGCTGGGCGAGACGACGACGACGAGTGGTGGTTTGTGCGTGTACGAGTGCGAGTGCGAGGCTCTCTGGCCGTGACAACGTCCGCACAATCGCAAGAGGTCGGGGCTCCACAAGAGAAAACGAACGCGGCAGGTTGTGTAACGCGTTACGATGAGCCCCCCCCTTCGGATCTCTTCTGGCGAAAAAGAGGGTCCTGCCGCTTTGGGCGGCTGCCATGACGTCACGTCTACGTCGTCCGCCTGCGCTTCGCGTGCGCCGCCCAATCGGCTTTGCGCGGCTGTGCCACTGCGACCGTCGGCCGGGGCGGCGGCTTGTTCGTCTCCCTGAACGTTCCGCTCCGGAGTCCGCTGAGCATTGGCTGAGCTTGCCTTCCGGGATGCAATACATTCGACCACGATCCGAACAGGAGCGTCTGCTCCTGGGAATTGGCTAGGCGAAGTGCGCTCCGGTTCACGTCTTCTATCATGTCGAAGGCCCGGAAGCAGTTGTGACGACACGGACATGTAATAAATGAATCACGATTCACGATCCGGGGGTCGCCACTATGATCTCTCCTGTCAAATGACTGGCAACGGTTGCTTTTGTGCAAACATGCGGCTCAGAAACCCCGAAGACGCATTCTTTTGAGCAGTAAGCTTCAAGGTAGGGGAGACACACCTGTGTTCATTGACGGTTAATTGACGTTCACCATACGAAAGGCAGAACACATTCGACTTGGAACAGGTAAACTCACTACGATGAAAATAGATAACATAGCCCCGTTTATGATTTCAAAGTACGGGGCGCGTTACAAACGAGTTCTTTGAGCTGTGATGAGTGCTTTCCTAACAGGAATAACGATGTCAAAAACTTTCTGACAAATCATGTCAGACTTCGGGCAAATCAAAGATAGGATCTCACAGTTACAACCAAGCGCCATGGCAAAAAGAAGATGCCATGTATGTGAGGGCCTCCAGCCCTCTTTGATGTGCATTAAAATGCGCTCTAGATAGGTGAAAGTGCGTAGTTGGGTCCGAGAAAATCGAGTCCTGGAGGAACCCATAGGGGTCTTACAGTCTCGCCTAGTTGTTAAAATCTTAAACTAAGGTTCGACATCAGGATGAGTGTAAGCAACAGTTTTCATGTGTAAAGCGAGTAGGAAGGTGTATAGGCGAAGATGCGAAAAGATTTGATGGATCCCAAAGCTAGATCGGTAGTCAAAAAATCAGAATAAAAGATATTCACTGATAAATACTGAATTTGAAAGGTCGTCCGAGGCCGGAAGAGCGTTTGGTGATCGAGCGAGCGGCGGGCTTCGAGGGCGCGAAGGGGTGGTTACCGGAAAGGTAGCTTGTATGCCCCAAAAAGGAGCATGGCGGTGCTTTGCTCGCGTGGCGTCGGGCGTCGGGAGGCGGGAGACGCTCGTCTCGATTGCTTGTCTTGCTGCACGCTCAGGCCTCGCTCGTTCTAAGGTTCCAAAAACTCGTTACTGACTCTGTTTCAACCAGTCGTTTTTTTATTACATTTACGAAATAGAAACCTGAGACTTCGGTTCGCGATCTGTATTCGAGGCAAGTTGTTCAGCTGGGTTATGGGATAGTCAAAAGTTGGCGAACTCGGTAGCAAATAGGTGCGCGTCGTCTGCATTCTCACGTGCCATACCCGTATCCATGCCTCACGTCAGGCGTAGTGGTGGTCTGACGCGACTTGGCCGGTATGAATCTTGTAACGGACACGTCAGCTCGGCAAACATCCTCTGCTCGAGCCCCCGCAATCTTGTCTTCATCAGCTTGGACTGCTCGCACGCTTTGTAACGCACGCCAGCAAGCCCGTCATGATGTTTCGCCATGCCTTCGTCCAATCCGCCGTGCTCTGATATTGCTCTGGTCGACACACGATCGCCCACAAAGTCCAAGGATAACCTCCTCCATGCCATCTCCGCGCGCTGTTCTCCGACACAACATGATGTCCAGGGCCGTCAGGCGACGTCTAGAGTGTGCGGCATTCGCTCACGCAAGCTGTGCCCCCCTCTCCTCCGTCCCGCGCGGACCAACAATACAGAGCGATGCCGCATGACCAACGATCTCATATAACGATCTCCGTCATGCTCGGAGCGTCGCCGAGCTCTCCGCGAGCACTCTGTCAGTGTAAGGATGGCACTCCTTCTCTGATCTTCGACCCATACATACGTGTACTCGACCCACACTCCTGATGACCTGATCCCGGCGGCAGGAAGACATCGGACCAGCCACGATCTCCGCAGACCCGTTCCATATCGACGTGCCTGAGTACCTAAAGGTCTGGGTTCATGGGCGTGGGCATTGGATAATATTCCATCATTACTCGGACGAGGAGTCGGGGACGGTCTCACAGAGCGACGTATATCAGTGAAGCTGTGTATGTCGGACCGCGCTGGGATGTATGGTGTATCAACACAGCACGCCGACAAGTAAGTAAAGTGATACATCATATCCGCATCGTACTGACGCAGTCACTGCGCTCGTTGACGCCCGTATAGGCCTCTCCTTGACCCGCATTATTCCGGACCACGCCTTCCAGCGGTTACGGATGAGTGAGTGACTGAATCAATCAATCATCCAGAATCAGGAAGGCACGAACGTCCCACAGCCACCAGATCGCTCCGTTACGGAGGCAAATCGCGACCGAAATCTTCCAGATCTATGTACTCTGCTCCGAGTCGGACATACGCCACCAATTCTCTCTCTCTTTCTCAGCGTCCCCGACTCCCTCACCTGCAGCAAAGCTATTAACGCGGCACAGCTCGCCGCCGAAGCTGGTATTGGATCGGAAGCTTATTGAATGCCACGCAACGGCCGGCACCCGGGTCGATCGTGTTTGGGATCACGAGTTCTCGCTCTCAGGGCACATGAGTTCAAAGTCAATATCCAAACGAGGCGCTCCAGGCGATGCGTTGCGCCGGCGGATCTCAGCGTTCCTGGACCATCCCGTCCTTCTTTCTCTCTGAACATACGGATGTTCATTTTTGCCATGCCGCGGGACGGGGGTCTACGTTCCCATTTCTCAGGGATTGTGGCGAATGACCGCGCTGCAGTACTTTGCAATGTCCTGGTGATGCGATGACAACACTGAGGGTCGTGGTATGCATAGTTGCGTTCATGTGAGGTGCCGGTGGTCACTGACAACGAGTGAACGATACAGCCTGAGGATGGCCACGTCATACACGTGAGAGCCCAGAGATCAGGTGAATTAACACTAATGCCGAAGACCTAATCGAGGTGGTATAATACCGTGTCCGACACGGTATCATACGTTGCTCACTCTGTGGCACATCAACCATCTCATTTCTTGGCTCCTTCTCGCATGCTTTTTCAGCCAATAATCTTCTGAGAGACTGATATATCTTGGAACGCTCGTTCTGGACCTCGCCCGCAGCAGTCTAATCCCTTTCACCTTCCATATGGGGTCAATCAGGGTCAGGATATACTATCACCTTCCTAGGCATCGCCAATGCCACGCGCGATGTACAAGCTGCGTCCTGTGCATGCATGTACTGTCTTGACTCTGTCCAAGCTCATTTATCACGCTCCGCGGACTCGGAATTGCGCCAGATCTGTCTAATCTGCTTGTAGAGCAAGAGCATACCCATTCGCTCTGCAACTGCCACCACGCCTTAGTCGCTCGTCGTTCTCATACCTAAACGGTATCCGCAGAGATTCATTTACAGTCCTCACGTCCACTGACGAATGTTCGGCTACGAACATGCATTCACTAAATTCATAGGTACAAGGTGGCCATATAACTACACGAACGGAGTCAAACGGCAAACTGTGTACGCGTGCATTCATCTCACCGCGATAAAGAGTCCCACGGCGCAACTTCGGTTCCTGGGAAACGGAGACTGGGAGCTACGGTAGTAATCGGCACGCCTATCGAATCCTCGTGAGCGACGTTCCATGAAACTGATCAAGCAGATAACTGACTGTATGGCAGAAGCCGTGGCATGTCGTGTTTGTTTCATCCTCACTCGGACGGACGGACTTCGGATGATGGTTTTCGCCATTCCGTCCGGATGCCGCGAGCGTAACCGGCTGGGAACGCTCGGGATTCTTTTAGTCGATGTTCTTCCCGCTCATCAATATGACCGTAGCGACAACTGCAGGTATCTCGAGGCCGATGACCATAGCCTCTCGAGACAGCTCCAGTGTGATTTCCGTCCGAGATTTAGTAACGCGACACAAGATGCAGAGCGTAGAGCTACTGTCTGCCGTGGGCGTAAGGTGCATTGTCAGCTGAACTGGACGTGTAAGCTGGATGGTTTCCGATTACCGACTGCTTCCGCGAAACTTACACAGAGGTGGTCACCAATCGGCATCCATCGATAGCGCATGTTCCCTACTTCCATCGTCCTTGACCTGATTGTAGGACCAAATGTTAGCGTGCCGTAATGATTTGAGGATGTCATTCAATAACCTGGAGTCTTCGGAGCGGACGAGCCAGTCTGCGATGTTCATTCCCTCGCTGTATCCTTGAATTTCGACGGTCGCAGACTCTTGCCAGTTGATCATCGCGATCTTATTCTGGCTGGGATGGTCTCTGACGGTAGTCAGCAGCGATCCGAATGTGGAAATCGTCCCCACCGTGTAGCGGCATGCGCTCGTAGAGTCCACCACGTCACATTCCAGCACACTCGGTGAGAAAGCCGTGTATCGCAGAGTATAAGAGGAGTTGCTGAGCTGGGATGCAGTCATCATGGGCGACCCACCGTTGAGCGTTGTGGTTCCACCCCTTCAGCAGATATTTGTACGCCATCCGCGCCTTCCCAATTCCCGACGATGACACAGGAGCCGTCGAGGAGTTACTGCGCAGTTTACTAAGGGGACGCAGACCGGACCGTCGAGCGGCGCGGTATGAGCCCATGGCACAATGTTTTACCACATCATATGAGCTCGGCGGGGAGTGCGGCATCGTCATCCTCTAACGATTGTCTGGTAGACAAAGCTGGAAACCTGATTGGCAGGAGCGATGATCTCTCCCGAATGGCTGTGAGAGCCGCGCAAGAGAACCTAGGCCATTGATGACAAGTCGACCTGGGGCCAAGGTTACGTGAAGCTTCCGTTTTGGGGCCCGTAATGGATCGCTGGAGTTGTGGATAGTGATAGAAGTTCTGGTGGTAGGGGAACCTTGAGTAGAAGATGGAGTTGACTGTTGAACAGACGTACGCATTGGTGAGGTGTAGATGAGAGGAGGACAAGGTGCATCCCGTACTCATACCGATTCTGTGTTGTGGCCTCCGACGGCTTCCCAGGTCAAACGCAACGGTGACCACGGCACATTATGTAGTGAATGACTCAAGCCCTCTTATTCTTGGCAAGATGAGCTTCTGCGTGGGCTAAGGATAGCGTGCTTTGCTTTATGTATGCGATGTGCATGATCTTCCATAAGGAGCGCGTTCTCGGGGCACCGGATGACGAAGACCGGCATAGATTATTTTAGCATAGTTCCTGATGCTGGTATGATCAAGCACAAAATCGACCACAATGGAGGCCTGACGTTAAACGCAAGGTTGCAAAATAGTGCCCGGCAGCGCACAGCTTGAGGCAATGGGTTAGGGTTACTAGCATGCTTCAGCAAAAGTTTATTTACGAATTGGAAAGCACAACGAATACAAAATAACCGACAGCAATGGTATCATGCTCTACAATCCATAACAATGAAATAACCTAATTATCGTAATACTGATCATCCGCGCGAGTCTTTTGGAGTGAGAGTCCGAGCAAGTGCGCAGAGTCCAGGACCGATCCAGGAGCCCTGCGACCGCGCTTTGGGTAGGGTGCCGGTCTCAGTCGATGTTCTTGCCGCTGAGCATCAACACAACGGCGACGATCGACGTCTCGACCAAGCACAGGTCGACAGCTTCCTTGCTGAGGTGAAGCGTGACGCTCTGTCGCGTCTTTACGCAACGAGCGATGATCCGAGGAGATATCGGATCCGGAACGTACAACTAGAAAATCTATCATTAACGACGCTGAAGGCTATCGGACCTCGCACTCACGCAAAGATCGTTCATGAGAGGTGCCCAGTCGTAACGCACGCGATTTACGTGAACGCGTCTAGCACTGAACATTCGCAGAAATGTTAGCTCGTGTCTGCGTATCGTTCAGGAAGGGGCCCTACCTTCGATCTCCAGACAGAACAAGCCAATCTCGGGCGGGGGTTCGTCCAAGATGTTCGCGTATCTCGACGTAGGGAGTATACGACCAGTCGACCCTCGCTATCATGGTGGGATTACCGCCGTGAGTCGCGACTACCGACGTCTGTGCCGTCGAAGAGCCCGTATCCGTATGGATCCTATAGCTCGTAGATGGCCCACCCCATCCTTGCTCGACGATTTCGCAGTCCAAAATGGTCGAAGACAGGTTAATGAAATGCAGGGTCCGTCCACCTTCTCCTCCGAGTGCTGAGACGAGTGCGTCCATGTCGATCAACTTGAGGTACGTTTGCGCTGCTCACACCGATCGACTCCTCCCACCTTTTGTACTCCTCATCTTTCAATATTGTTTAGAGGACCCGGCACGGCCAGAGATTTCCGCCTGCAGCTGACGCCAGACACCGAACCAGCCGCCGGAGACAGGCGCACGAAAGGAGAAAACGCGGCATCGAATCACCTATCGTGAGTCTCACAGACGCCCGCCCGCCGATACGACACGACACATGAGAGAACAGTGGTAGTGACAGGGCAGTGAGCCCCGCGCATAGCCAAACGAGGGTGAAGCCCGTCCCGGGTAAAACGAGAGGCGTCAAATCAAACGGTGGGCAGGGGCTTGAGCGGCGCAAGACCCAATGCAGGCGCTAAAACCCGGAGTCGTGGAAGGCAGGACCATCTGCTTGAACGGTGATGGTGGTCAGAGTAGAAGGCGGCTCCGGTTCCCCGACATTCCGATTAGCGTTCGGGAACGGCCATGGAAGCCGCACCCCTTAGTGGCGGTGCCTCGCGGTGCTTCTCGAGGGATGACATCAGGACTCACAATAGACGGCACATCCGCTATACTAAGGAGCGGCGGGCTCGGAAGTGGTTCATGTTGATCACGTAGGGGATCCTATGATATGCTAGATGACCACGAGCTTGCTGGAATTTGTTCTTGAGGCACTCGATGCATGTGAACGACCATTGGCAGAGGTCTTCGTACCGACCTTCTGGACATCATTCTTGAAGTGTTGGTGAGTCACGCGGAGAACCCTTGCCATCAGCGGATCTAGCAATGGCTTGGACAAGCACCGAGCGTTGTACACCAGGAACAGCTATCACTAGACAAGCAGATCGTTACGAGAGCGACATGGTCGCAACGCGCCTCCCAGGGTGCTCATTTCTCGCCGAAATGAAACGGGGCCCGGCCCCGATCTCGAATTCTGCTATCATCAGTCGATGTTTCTCCCGCTTAGCAGCAAGATTACCGCCAGGATTGCAATTTCCTGAAGCTTGAGCTCGATGGCGTCTCTGCTGAGTTGCAATACGGCCATATCCGCTTTCTTCGTCGCACGCGCGACGATACGGGTGAAGTTCTCATCTGGAAGATACAGCTGTTATGGATCAGGTTGAGGAAAGTGTCAACAAAGCTCTGAAACATCGGCGTACGCAGATATCATCCAGATAAGGAGCCCAAATGTATTTGATCCCGGAAGCCTCCATATTCCTTGCACTGGAAGGTTCGAGGGTCAATGCATGTTCATGCACAACCTGATGTTGCATTCGTACCTTCTATCTGGCACTAGTCCGAGCCAGCTACGAGCAGACTGCCTGCCAAGGATGTCCCGAATTTCGACGACAGGGTGTCCCTGCCATTCAATGCGCGCTAGAACCTGTTCTTCTCCGCGGCGAAGGTCGTATATCGTCGTCAACTGGGGACTTTGGGAGTCGTCGGTCGTCACGCGAAATCTCTTCGCCCAATCGTCTCCGGATTGTTCCACGATGTCACTAGTCAGAATCGAAGGCGCAAAGGAGACGAAGTAGAGCGTTTGTGCGGTCTCTCCGCCGGCCCCTACGTCCAGTAGGTTCGAAGCCATTTGATGTTGGAACTTTCAGTTGAACATGGTCGTGGTTTTGTACTTGCCCGAGAGTCCTCGTATCGTCCTCTCTACGTCAGATACCCGCTACACGACGTGTTGCATCGACGTCGTCGTAATCCAAGCGCAGCACCGGCAAAGTGCTACAAAGCGCGGCGAGCCGGAGTGTAGCACATAACTCGATGTTTCGGAAAGTGCGAATGACCGAGTTAAGTACGCCACAAGCAGGGCAGAGTGGTGGTCTTAGACGGATCAATGGGAGTGAACGCATGTACGGAAGAAAGGCCATCGAACACGACTGTACTAGCAAGATATGACGCGAATGTTGATCGCAAGCCCGATGGTAGATGGAGATACGGAAGTTTTTGGTTCGAATCCTGTTGACTTCAGCGTCCCGAACGACCTTGCATCCGGATGAACGTTGCCGGCCAGCGCATGCTTAGCTCGTTGGGACTGCCAGAGACGATGCGCATGCGCACGGATGGAGCACGCCGCACAGCATTGCCTACCTACCGCCGCGCCTCCGGGTCCTTCCGTTGCCCAAATCGGGCTGCGCGCACTCCCCGAAAGACTCGAGATGGCGCAAGAGGCGGGGCTTCGTTTCCGCCCGCTCCCAGACCGGCCATTCAATACCCTTCTGGTCTTCTTACGGCCCTCTGCTCAGGATGTCTGGTACCACCATCTCTCGCATCATGTACTTGCCTGAGGCTGTATACTCAACACGCGGTCGTGAGTTCTCTTCGCACTTTTGTAGTAAGCTGGATTTGACCATGAAATCATTTGTGACCCCGGGATGATCATTGTCGTCCTTTATGGTTCAGACTTGCACAAATCAACATTTCTTGACTTGTACTCGAATGTCCGATAGTTTTCACAGCCTGGGATTCGAAGCTCTGCTCTGCTTCCGGTTGCTCGTTGATCACACTGCTGGTGCATCGTATTCGCCCTGAAAGTCTGCAATAGTTATGGGTAGGTAGGTAGGTAGGTATATTTCCGGCGCGGTCCCAATAGCGGAACAACTGGTTGCCGCACCGCACGTCAATACGCACGGCTGATTGGAGAAAACACACCACATACGAGTATTGATCTGCAAGAATCAAGCACGAGTGTTTACCACATGGAATGCATGAGAGGAACGATGACGCGGCTATTAAATTGGTCTACTCCAAGCTCATACGATACAGTTCAAAATATTGTAGCAATCCAAGGATAATGATATATACTCAGGCAGTACTCCGTTCTATAGCATCGATTCGTAAGGCCCGCGTCCACCATTCAGACCTTCTTAGGCAACAGTTGGACAATGCGAGTCCTTTTGACCTCTTCGGATTTGCCGCCCATGTAGCGGTCGCTCTCGTAGGACCAGTTCAAGCTGCCGCCGATCCAATCAGCCATGCACGCTACGTATGGGACCAGCTGAGCGTCTATTTCCGGGCCCCACGACGGCAGGAGCGCCTGGTTCTCAAGGAAACGGTCGATTGTGGATTTGCACATCTCCCCAACGACGTCGATAGCGGACTGGAGGTCGAGGTTCTGCTCCTGTTGCATTGTCAACGTCTGCTCAGAGCTTTGAGAGCTCGTCATATGCTCACCCTCATGACGACGATGACGATGTTGTGGGTATCGCCTCTGGCTTGCTCGACATTGTAAGAGAATAGATCCTATTCGAATACAACGATGTGAGAATGCTATGCAGCGTTTGAAAGTGTAGATGCTTACGTTGGACCAGCATACGAAGTCGTTGGAGGCGTCGGCCATATTCTTGAGAACAGGATGCTCCACGACTTCATCTGGGAGGGTGAGGTGACTGGCGTATTCTGCTAAAATGAAACACGGCAGCACGCCGCCGGTATGCCTCCGTTGTTGGATGTACGACTCGAGATCGGGGATGACACCGGCCCTCCGGTCACGCGCTTCTTGCTCGATAGCCGCAAGGAATGAGCGAGTCGTGTCAATGAAACCTAGAGTTGAAGAATTCCTGATCAGGTTAGGCACTTGCAGCTTGTGAAGTTCTCACGTTTCTGCGCGCCAGGAGATGCGATCTTGAGGAATCGTAGCCAGAAGCTGCGGATCAATCTCAGTAAAATAGCATGGCATGTGATGATGGTTTGGCCGTACCTCCTGGTCAGCTTGCCGATGCGAGAATCGGATATGTATGTGTCTGGATGAAGCATAGTGTCCATTACTATGTCTCCCGCATTGCGGGCTCCAGCTTGGTCCATATCGTCGGTGAGATTGTCGTAATGGAACTATAATGACGATTCCACAACGAGCGTCAGCGGCACAATCATGGATCGTATGAGAAAGATTTGCTGCGCACTAGCCAGTTCATGACATCACAGCACAGGCGGAACTCGTCGAAGTCCGCATCAGGGTAGCAACCAGCAGTGAGCAGGCGTGCTTTGACGCCGCGAAGCTTGGCGGCGTGTTTGGCGCCGAGGTTGCCTCCATCGACGACCCAATCCTCTGATTCACGGCCGGCGGTTTCCATGTGAGGATTGAGGCGAACCTCGAAAGGGCAGTGCGCTGGGAGGTCGGGGAGTACGATGTACGACGGCATTGCTTTGGACGATGTAGAAGTGTGCGGTGCAACCATTCCGATAGGGTGTAGATGGTAATGTAGTAGAGGTGTCGAGTATTGGAGGAGGTGCCGAGGAGTCGAAGTAGCAGTGATGACTTTGTCGTCATTCGCCACTGCTGGTCCCTTTTTATGGGATGCTGCGCCGACCATATTGATTCTCCACGAACGTCTTTGTGAGATACCCGCCCAGCGCGTGTGGAGAATTCATCGCACATCCCAAACATAGTCCAGCATAGCCGATGAAACTGGACCAGTCACGCAAGTTCCCCCCTTCTCCGTCACCACGGGTGGCGGAGCAGTTACCACAGGGGAGGTCCGACCAGCATCACCGAGATCCCAGAGATTGCCAGAATGGAAGGTCTGGTCGCCGATCCATTTAGTCATTATGTGGATCCTAAAACCAAGGAAATGTGTAATGTGTATCATCGACTGCGATGGGGACGTGCGCGTTCCGGTAATCCGTGCCGACTCTGACTGCGCTCCAGACTCATCGTCCCGTCGGATAATGCTGTGTGCAATACCTATTGCGCGGGCTGTTGGGAAAGGGATTTTCTGCGCGCACGGCAGTACTACCCGTGCTCATCGGCGGTATACGTACTTGCTACGGGTCACCAGCGGTCGCAGGTGGGAAGTACCAACAAGCAGCATAGCACGCTTCCCAGTGGTTCCTAGACTCCAACGTAGAAAGATGGCGAACTTGCGAACATACGGCGAACGCTTCTATCAAGAACCTCGCATCGTAAAGCTTGCATGTCGACTCACGACGTCACGATGGTGTACGGGCCGGAGGCCCGGACGTAGTGTTTGAGGTCGGTCGAAGCTGGAAACCGGTGTGTCGCTGGGTCCGGCGCCTTCGCGGAGTCCGAAGGGGCACTGCACCAGTTCTCCGCTAAGCCCGGTATCGTGAGCATCGTGGCACAGAAAAGGTCGTATAATGATGATTTATGTGGCACCTGCTCGTTCGTTGTCGGGCGGAAACCTTATGCTGTTCGGCCGCTGTATGAGTTTATCCACATCTGCGCTCCATAGGAGCGGGAGAGTCGCTCCCGTACATGGAGATAGTCACTGTACAATGATGATGGCATGCGCAGAACAGTTGCCATTACCCATCACACAAGGAGCGGAGCCACCTGTATAGGCAGGAACGAGAATTGAACGTTAGGGAGTCGGATTGGACGAAGGCCCAGATCGTCGCACCGAAACGGGAACAAGCTCCACGCCAGCAACACAATATCGCAGCCTTGAGATTCCGTACAATGCATCGATCAATCGTTGCTTGGCCACAATCTGCGGTGTCGAACCGTACGTACAGCCCGTTTTGACGCTCGAGATCGTTCTTGGAAGAATGTTCATTCTGGAGCTCGCTTTCGCGGTCGGTCACGAGGACTTCCAACACATCGGTAGTAGCGTCGTCCATATGCCCCACCATGCCACGCAGCCACTCGAAGCCCGCATGTGATGCGACTGACAGTTGATCAACAGGTATCTGAGTTGGAGTATGCCCCACAGGGCGAGGACAGCGATAGATTGCTGAGGTTCGCAGAGAATGGCGATACCATCATTACAAGGGTGCGGGCGGTAACGTCGCACGGATGCCTGCGCCCGTAGGCTGTAGAGCACAGAGGATATCCGGCTACGACAGCCCACGCATCTGTTCCATAGGGACGGTAAGACGGCGGTGGTGACGGAGCCGTCCGTACCGCAACCTCGACCGCCAAAGGACATGGCGGAAGGGCGGGAGGGCGGAACGTCGTTGATCGGACCTCATAAAAGGAAGGCGGACGGCGATAAGAGACCAATTGCTGCATATTCCCAAGCAAACGCCCGGAGTCGGTTCTGGAACGGCGCAGATTCGCAACAAGCGAAAGGGAAAGGGCAATGATAGTCGCATCGTCAATTTTCAGAGGGATGCGGGTGACGTTGAGGGATGACGAGTGAAACTCTGCCCGCAATACTCCTTCAGGCACGAAGGAAGGATATGTCATCATGTGGGGATGAAAAATAGCGTTGCCCGTTGATTGTGGAGCACCAGAGATTCTGCAAAGCGATGGGTGTACGTACGCATCCGATTCATGGGAAAGTCAAATGCAATGGCGTCGGCGGAAGAGACTTCGCTGCCGCTTTTTCGTCCCATGAGCGATATCGCGAGCCTATGAAACAACGGGCAAGTGTCCGGGATGGAAATTTAGGCGTCTTGCGAATCTCAGAATGCTGCTACGCCGCAATCAAACCAGATGATTGCACCGTCGAATTTGGAGTGCACATACGACTGACGCCGAGGGAAGGCGACTCAAACTCCATCCAAGGGCATCTAGAAACGAAGGTGGAAGTCGACCACAACGCTCCACCTTCCGCAACAGCCCTGCGAGCGAATCAGCAATTGGGCGATGTCCTAAAACGGGATCCGGTCCGTGCAGCCCCGTGCCCAGATGTTGGACACGAAGAAATTTTGCGTCTTCAACGCGCAGCGCGGCGTTCTCGATCTCCTTCTGAGTTGGATATCCATCATGAAAGAACCAGCAACGATACGCCCCCAAATCAAAGAAGTTTTGAGGGGCGGTGATATCCATCCGTTTTGTTTTCTCCAATAATCCCGCGCTACCCGGGTGCACCACCGACGCGCGCAAGGGTCACCCACGCCAAATGGTAGGTGCCATCGGGCCCCGACCTTTGCAGGCACATGAGAGGCACCCACATCGCTGAGATACACGAACACCAGCCCGCCGTCGCCACGGAACAACTGCCCCGACGGAGCCCTGCACAAGTATTGACCGCCCGCGCTGTCCTGCGACGGCCCTCAAGATTGGTTTCCCCGCTTGATCTTGAGCACAGCCATGCCCATGTATCTCCGTCCAGGCTCGGGGACGGGTTGATAGAACAGACCTCCGAGTCGCTACTCTGCTCGAAATACGCATTGCAGTGCAAGGAAGCAGCAAGAATAATCGGAGACATGTTTGGAGGCCTGTACTGTGCAGCGGGCGGTTCCAGCGAACATATCGGGGCAAAGGTTTGAGCGCGGCCCGCGGCGGGCCGCCCGGAAGGAAGGTAAACGTCGGTGCCGGACGGGCATGGTCGTTTTGGGACGTGGAATTGCTGGATTGAGCCACCGTTCGCGGCTATGGGCCGACGACGTGCGAGAGGAGCGCGCCACGCCGTTGCAGCGGTGCCCCCTACGCGCAAGAGGATCGTTGCTCGACCATCCCGAACTGGTCGGAGGTTGCTGAGGACCAGGAAAGAGTACGAAAGCCCGCACACCGAAGCGCGCATTTCGGGAGATATGGCATGGAGCACCTTTGACCCAGCGCTTACGCGTAAGAGGAGGGAGAATCGGAAGATTGCCTGGATTCCGTGAATCGTTCGGAATTGTCGCGTCTGAGTCGTTGCGCCCCACAACTCGATGGACCATACGCGATTGAGTCCTGCGATATGAGCGGCGGATAGTTCGCAAGGCTGCGCTGAGTAGTCGGAAGCGGGCCGTTGGTAAAGGCTTTGGTGGGTGAGTCGAACGGCGATTCTGGCAGGGTACCTGGTCAGCAACACCATGAGCTGCCGAAGTTTGCACCGACGCACCCCGAACCATCATGGCCTCCAATCCAACTTTCGATGAATGCCCTCAGAGAACACCTTAGTGAATGAGGGACATCACATCCTATTTATTCCGCAAGGATAATCTGGATTGCTGATGGAAGCCCGCGACGCGCACGAGCGCGTCCGTTTGGAGCGTTGAGCGAATCACAAAGGCTGCAAGACAGAGAGGGATCTTAAGTAAGGAGATGAGTAGCACCGTTGGTAACCTTGAACGCAGAAGATACGCCAGTCCAAGAGTCGCTCCTGGCCGCATGTGGGTATGTTTGATTTGATTATCACCTTTTATACCCAAGCTGGCATTATTCCGCATCGCGCAAGGTCGTATACAGGCTATACAGCTCAACTTTGGCGTTGAAGGCGCAAGCAATGCACGGTGCCTCGGCGCTGCCTAGGTTTTTTCTCTGCTTTTTGCCGGTGGAAACGATGACCATCTTGAGGCCGGCACTTGGGTGGACAGCGTGCTAAGGATACCGAGAACGTGAAGATAACAACGAAGCCGCGAGGAAGAAGAACGAGAGCAGGTGGCTCGGTCGACCATCATCCGCTGATCGACCACGATGGCAACCTTCGCCTTGCCTTCGACATACCGTCCTCACTGTGCTCCCTCTATTCTTAGAGAGATCAGCATGGAACACAGCTGGAGCGAGACGATTCTCGGATCAACCTCAGTCGCCCAACCGCACGGTGGGTGTGCCAAATATACACTCTCCATCTGCATCCGCCTTCCGACCCGGCGAGAACTCCTGAATGCATCGCTATATAATCGCGATGGTGGTCGTCGTCGTCCAAGCCCTGGGCTATCCTCTCCAACGCCATGATCCTCCGAGTTGCCATTGCTCTGTTGTCGATAACGCCGCTTGTCCTCGGCGGCCAGATACCCGTCGTCGAGGGCGTTCTCGGGGGTGTGCCTTCACATGTTCAGTCCGCATCTCGCGTTGACTTGGTCAAGACCAAGGCGAAGCTATCAACGGAGGCGAACACTCCCGGCGCGTTGCGGATAGTGGAGAATTCTGGAGTTTGTGGTGCGGCCAAATTCCCTCAGCCGAAGTCGTATTCAGCAGAGCTGACCGTGTTGTACATGACAGAGACGACGAAGGGCGTATACCAAGCGTCCGGATACGGCGACCTTACCTCGAAGAACTCCGTGTGGTTTTGGTTCTTTGAAGCCCGTTCCAATCCCGACACCGCGCCGCTCGCTATCTGGTTGAATGGTGGTGTAAGTACTTTACCATCTGTACACATGTTCGGTCGGTCTCATCGAGAATGCACAGCCGGGATCTTCTTCCATGATTGGCCTTTTCCAAGAGAACGGCCCCTGTCGCATCCAAAACGATACCAAAACTGTCGCGCTCAACCCGTACAGCTGGAATGAGAAGGCGAACATGTAGGTTCTTTGCTCACATTCACATTGTTCTGTGAATTCATTCATCACCCGGCACAGGCTCTACATTGACCAGCCCATCGGTGTCGGCTTTTCCTATGGGGACACGACCGTCGGCACCTCTCAAGAAGCCGCTTCCGATGTCTGGAAGGTGTGATCACCTAGTCTCGCCTCTTCTCAGACGACAGACTGATGCTTGTCGTATAACAGTTCCTTCAGATCTTCTTCTCCGATTCGCGCTTCTCGAAGTACGCCAAGAACGAGTTCGCCATCTGGACAGAGTCCTACGGTGGCCACTACGGCCCGACCTTCGCCGCGTACTTCCTGGACCAGAACAAGGCGATTGCGAACGGGACCGTCACCGGCACCCCCATCAACCTGAAGTACCTCGGAGTCGGAGATGGTCTGACCGGTAAGCACCTCTTCTCGACGATAAGGCGCAGCACCCAGCGCTAAGATGCGATTTCCTAGATCCTCTATCCCAGTACCCGGGTTACATCAGCTACGCCTCCTCCAACCCGTACCACGCGCTCGTCTCCTCGTCGACTATCAAGACTGCCAACACGTCGTACTACAAGTCCAACGGCTGCCAGGATAAGGTACATATACTTGAGAATGTTCCCAGGTCATCCCCTATTCTTAGCTGACGCAATCGCAGATCCAAGCCTGCTACGACTCCGGCTCGACGTCGACCTGCTCCTCCGCGCAATCGTACTGCAACAACAACATCCTCTCACCGCTCGTGGGCAACTACGATGTTTACTATGTGCTCTCCAAAAACCCGGACTCGTACCCTCCCGACATCACGTCCTACCTCTCTTCGTCCTCGTTGCACACGAAGATTGGCGCCCATGTACGCATCCTCAATTCGCCCGGTTTCATTCGAGATGCTCATATGCGATGCGGTGCCCTGTAGGCTACGTGGCAGGAGACCAATGACGACGTGTATAGCAACTTCGCCTCCACCGGCGATTGGATGCACAACTCCCGCCTCGACCTGCAGACGGTGATCGACTCGGGCGTGCGCACGCTCATCTACGATGGAGACGCCGACTACATCCTTAACTATATGGGCGTCGAGGCCATGGTAAGCCCCTTATTACACACTCGGAAACCACGAGATCTGGCGCTGATCATTCTATCCGCGCGTCCCACAGGTCAACAACCTCCAAACCCGGTTCACATCCGAATTCGCCAAGCAGTCCTTCGCGAACTACACCGTGAACGGCGTCCGGACGGGCGTGTTCAAGAACGCCGGCACGTTCTCGTATGTGCGCATCTTCGGGGCCGGCCACGAGGTGCCGGCGTACAAGTACGGGAGCCTGGCGTACGGCCAGGCGGCACTCCAGTTCTTCAGCCAGATCATGAGCAACCAGAGCCTGTCTTCGACGTAGAGCCTCACTTCGTAGAGCAATAGGATGTAACATCGTGGATTAGTTCAAAAATTGTAGCCAATAGACCAGCACAGTCGACTTTCATGAGATACTGTATTTTGTTTGAGAGCATGCACGGCTCTAAGATCCTCAACACCACCGTCGATCGAGGATCGTTCATATTGACAACCGCACGCCCCGAACGTTCCATTTCCCTTTCTTCCATTGGGTGTAGAAAAACCGATACACAAAGCACATACAACACCGCGCAAGGGACGAGATGTACAAACACCATTGATGTTGATCGTCTATTTGGTCTTGGTAGGGGTGTACGCCAGCGGCTTGTCCGCGTACTTAGGCTCGCCGAAGATGGGCGCGAACTGGGATTGGCGGATGACGGTCTCGAAGTGGCGGATGACGCTCGGGTACTTGGCGCGCGCCGGCGGGTCGAGGGTGACCTACAGAAAACCACGTTTAGGACAATGTTATGGTGTTCATGACGGGGAAAACGCACCTGGACGGCGAAGCTGATGGCGCCGGCGAGGATGATGTCGGCGAGGGTAATGCGCTCGCCGACGAGGAAGGTGTGTGCGACGAGGTGCTTTTCAAGCACGTCGAGCGCGCGGAACTGCGCCTCGGCTTGTTGCGTGTGGAGCTAAGCATACGTTCGTCAGCGCCTACGCCACTTGCTAGGCAGGATGGGCGGGGCGCTTACGGGCTTGTAGTACGGCTTGATGATCCCCCTGCAGAGCTGGTGGATATTGATGAGCGGGGCGAGGATCTCCTTCTGGGCGAAGGAGATCCATTGGTCGACCTGTGCCTTGGTCACGATATCCGAGCCGAGGATGAGGTCCGCCTGGGGTGACTGCGACGCGACTGTGAAAGAGTATGAGTGGGCGTGAAAACGGAACAGTCTGAAGGGAAAAGCAGTGATAGGGAATCAGAGCTTCGTATTCTCGACACCATGTTTATTAAGACAGGGATAACTGAAGATGTATACGTCTCATCATGTTGACTTTCAACTCGCGACCCTAGTTCGTCGGCGCCGGAGAAGGGGACAAGTACAAGGACGAAGAACAGGATACTCACTGTAACGCGCAATGGCGATGAGCTCAAAAAGTTGGAAGCCATCTGCGCCCTCGAAAGCGGGGATCTTGCCCAAGGGGAACTTCGCGAGGAACTCGGGCTGGTTGCAAAATAAATTGAAGAGATCAGCGTGCGAACATGAGGGCAGCGCTATTGATGTCGAGGGAGGACGTACGGTCTTGTTGTCCTTCCCGTACTCAAACTCGGGCGCCGTAAGCTCGAGGCCGCCATACGCCGCGAGGGCTTTGAGCTATCGAGGTGCGAAAATCGGTATTGATGCCTAGCGATCATATACAGAAAGACGGTAGCGCACGGGTTGAATGAGAGGGTGCCATGCCGGGCCGTAAAGAGTGCCAACGGGAGCCATGTTCTGCGATGAGTGAGATATGAGAGGTGGAAGATGGGAGGTTGGCGTTGAACGTTGAGTACAAGTACAAGAAAAACCCGTATTTGATTCGAGCGCCTACTCAACGCAAGTGCGGCTATAAGACCATCTTATCAGCACAATCAGTCAGCATCGATGCCTTACTACAATCTTCGATCGGTCCAATCAATCCACTACAATCTTTGCATGATGTGCCGGGCAGGGTGAACACGCTATCCACTGGACGGTCAGACGTGAGCTGGAGACGCGTCCAGGATACACTTGGCGGGTGCCCACCAGGCATCCTGCATTGGATCGAGCACTTCGGCAGAAACCAACAGTGCGACCATGAACAGGACGACAGACGCGAAAGATGTCTAGTACACCTCAGACGACTTAACGCAGAACGGAGACGGAAAATGAATCGGATAAGTAGAGTAAACAGTGGTAATACAGCCTGTACAACAGCCAAGCGAAGAAAGAGGAACGATGGTCAACAACGCGACTAACTCGCGATGCGTCACAGATGCACGACACCAGAAGATTATACCTGCAAATCGGCGATAAGCTCTGCGTTCGACAACCTATGGGAGGATCAAAAAGGTGCTCACCTCTTGTGACTCGCCCTTGGCGCCCTTCTTGGTCGCTGTCGGGAGGAGTTCAGGCCGAATGAAGGGTACGACACCACCCTGAGAAATGACGACGTCGCCGAGAAGCTTGTTGAGTTCCTCGTCGTTCCGGATGGCGAGTTGCAAGTGACGGGGAACGATTCGCTGCTTCTTGTTGTCACGCGCCGCGTTGCCCGCGAGCTCGAGAATCTCGGCGGCAAGGTATTCGAGGACGGCGGCGAGGTAGACTAAGCAACCCGAAGTCAAACACTGGTTCAATAAACGGATGTGAAGTCGACGTACCAGGAGCACCAGCACCGACGCGCTGGGCATAGTTGCCCTTCTTCAAGAGACGGTGAATACGGCCGACCGGGAATTGGAGACCAGCGCGAGCAGAGCGCGACTGCGTCTTGGCGTCGCCAGAGCCGGCCTTGCCAGAGGAAGATTTGCCAGCTTTGCCCTTTCCAGACTAGAAGGGTTCGCGTCTGAGTCAGCTCGAAGTCCTCGACGCGGACAGGCGAAGCGAATTACTTACCATTGTTGAGTGTAGGTTGAGGTTGGTGGAGAGGTAAGACAAGGGTGGGGTGGTACGGGGCAAAGAGACGTTGAACGGCGGAACGCTAGGAGACGAAGGGTTTTATAGGAGAAGGCAAGAGGGAAGACGCGTGCGTGACGTTAGAGTTTGCGCCGTTGATTTGAGTCAACAAGCGCGGGACGCGCCCATATCATCTCACGTGACTACTGCAAACAACGACAAAGGGCGATCCGTATATAAGCTGGACTCTGGCTTTCGACCTCGTCAACGCTACTCGTCCATCGCCCACCACCGACTCCTTGCCGGCACTATCAACACTCAACTCTCCTCGCCAACCCGCCCACTAAATCGCAATGGCCCCGAAACCCGCTTCTACTGCCGGCAAGGCTCCTGCCTCCACCTCCACCGCGTCTAAGGCGCCTGCCAAGACCACGGAGAAGAAGGCGGCGAAGAAGACCAGCAAGACGACCTCTGGCGACGGCGAGTCCAAGGACAAGAAGCGCCGTAAGGTCCGCAAGGAGACTTACTCGTCCTACATCTACAAGGGTGAGTTCGAACTACATGGTTTCGCGCGATATCGTGGCTGA